ACTTTCTTTTGCAGCTACAACAGATTGTATGTCCTTTCACAACTTTCTCTTGCAGCTACAACAGATTGTGTGTCCTTTCACAACTTTCTCTTGTAGCTACAACAGATTGTGTGTCCTTTCACAACTTTCTCTTGCAGCTACAACAGATTGTATGTCCTTTCACAACTTTCTCTTGCAGCTACAACAGATTGTATGTCCTTTCACAACTTTCTCTTGTAGTTACAACAGATTGTATGTCCTTTCACAACTTTCTCTTGTAGCTACAACAGATTGTATGTCCTTTCACAACTTTCTTTTGCAGCTACAACAGATTGTATGTCCTTTCACAACTTTCTCTTGTAGCTACAACAGATTGCATGTCCTTTCACAACTTTCTTTTGCAGCTACAACAGATTGTATGTCCTTTCACAACTTTCTCTTGTAGCTACAACAGATTGCATGTCCTTTCACAACTTTCTCTTGCAGCTACAACAGATTGTATGTCCTTTCACAGTAGTTACAAATTACACTGGCACTTGTTCTGTGGTACCTATAAATTATCATAAACTTGCAGTGTGAGGAGAAAAGTGGTTACTTAATCTTCTAGGAATCATCACCAATGGATTCAGCACCTAATGGACTGGCTTGGATTAGATATGGTCATGTTTTCCTTGACATGTTTGATGTACAGTAAATCAGTTCTACACAAGTTAGAGACAGACGTAGTGACCTCTGAACCTCCCATTGTGTATTATTAATCAGGTCTGCACAAGACAGAGACAGATATAGTGACCTCTGAACTTCCCATTGTGTATTATTAATCAGGTCTACACAAGCTAGAGACAGATGTAGTGACCTCTGAACTTCCCCTTGTGTATTATTAATCAGGTCTGCACAAGACAGAGACAGGTGTAGTGACCTCTGAACTTCCCCTTGTGTATTATTAATCAGGTCTGCACAAGACAGAGACAGATGTAGTGACCTCTGAACTCCCATTGTGTATTATTAATCAGGTCTGCACAAGACAGATACAGTGACCTCCGAAATCTTTGTTGTTAATAATTAGTGTTTTCCTAGAAATGACCCCAAATGTGAATGTCCAACTGTTTTCCACTTTCAGAGAAGGATGGCCCAACAAAACCCTTTCTTCATGGACAACTTAAAACTGGCTGTAGAGGTATGTTAATTTTAGCTTCATTTTGGTTGCCTTTCCCCCCCCCCCCCCCCCCAGACCCACTTTGGAAAAGTTGAAGAGGGGGTGGGGGTGTTGGTGGATAAACCTTCTGCTGCCCCATACCCCAACAATCATGTTGTACAAGGCAACTCATTAGGTGGGATTTGCTGCCCCATACCCCAACAATCATGTTGGGGCAAACTCATTAGGTGGGGGTGTGCCCCATACCCCAACAATCATGTGGTACAAGGCAACTCATTAGGTAGGATTACTGCCCCATACCCCAACAATCATGTTGTACAAGGCAACTCATTAGGTGGGATTTGCTGCCCCATACCCCAACAATCATGTTGTACAAGGCAACTCATTAGGTGGGATTTGCTGCCCCATACCCCAACAATCATGTTGTACAAGGCAACTCATTAGGTAGCATTTGCTGCCCCATACCCCAACAATCATGTTGTACTAGGCAACTCATTAGGTAGGATTTGCTGCCCCATACCCCAACAATCATGTTGTACAAGGCAACTCATTAGGTGGGATTTGCTACCCCATACCTCAACAATCATGTTGTACAAGGCAACTCATTAGGTGGGATTTCCCTAAAGTCAGAGTGCGTCTGCCTGGAAGGTGAGGAACGGTCTGCTTGCAGATAAGCTTGATCTGTCAAATGGATGTACACACAAAACATCAGAAGTGGTCGATAAACCAGAACTTTCTGCTGTAGTCTACCTACAATGAACATTAAAAAGAAGAAGTTGGACTGCTTCAATTGAGGAAAATATAGTTCTGGAGGAGACTGTCCACCACTGTGAAACATTGCTGGTGCATCTCTTTCACATTCAGTAAACAAACTTCATAGTAGAAGTGGTCAGATTTTTTAGTGTACACCGACCACATGTAACAAGGGGAGAGAGAATTGAATGCATAAAAGTTGTTATTTTATTTATTTGTTGTAATTAGTTGTTTCCATCAAAGTCGGAGGACGTCTGCCTGAGAGGCAAGGAACCAACAGTCTGCATACAAGAAAGCCACATCTGTAAAATGGATGTACACCCAACACTCAAGTTCTGGAAAAAAGTCAAAGTCCAGAACTGGATTAACAACCAGAATTTTCCACAAGAGTTAACAGCTGGTGAATGCAAAGGAGAAGAAGGGTTGCTAACTTAAAGAGGATACCTTGCTGTACTATACCACACACAGCATACACCCAAAGAGGCGATGGTAGACTAAGAACAAGATGGAAAGAGAACACTAGAGAAGCTTTACAGTAGTGCAAGCGTTTTGTGTGGTCTAAGCGGCCATCAGAGCAAGTAACAAAACTATATATCTCCCTCCACTCCTAAAGCATTAAAATAAATCAATCAATCAAAAAACAAGTGAAGAAGAAAACCATTTGTCTGACAGACTTTACATAACTGTCTCTGCCCAAGCTCCATGTTTGATTAGTTGTTCTGTGTGTACAAACAAATGTGTTGTATTTTGTTGTATTTCTTTTAGTCAGTAAGTACTAAAGGAGTAATAAAGAAAATGCAACGCATTTGTTGTATTCTAACTTACATTTATATGTCTGTGTGCATGAGAGAGAGATTGGATAGTTTTTAGTTTTGTTTTTCAATATCTTTAGTTTAGAATTTCTTTCAACACTTCTTCAGCTTTCTTTACTTATGTTTTGTAAACAGTTGGCCATTGCAATCCGTATGTATCTGTGATTGTTTTACTTAGCTATATTCAAAAACCATGTTGTGAAACATTCAGTTATGTATTTTTTGTCTGTAGTTAGCTTTAATATTTTATTTTATTTTTCACCTGCTTTTGTGAAAATATTTGCTTTCACGTTTCTGAAATTAAAAAAAAATTAAACATGTTAATTATTTTGTTACTTTCATGCCTGATGTTAATTTATTTTTCTGTTCTTAAAACTTGTGTGAATTGTTTTGTTACTTTCAAGACTTATATGATGAACTCAGTCCACAACCTGCTGTTTCCTGTAATCACGACTACGGTGGCTGGACAGGATGCCGAAATCAACAAAATTAATCGGAACCTGGTTGACCTGCGACCTGCTGACCTTGGGATTCGTAAAATATTTAGGTATTTTGTAAATGTTGGTTATATCATTATTATGGATTAAGTCTTAGTAATTAGTAATGAACTCGGGCTCAGCTCCCCCCATCTACACACTAGTTCACCTTTCATTGATGCTTGGTCCCCATGTGGGTTCTGGGGATGTCATAAGAGTCGATTGATTGGGAGCTTCCTTCAAAGTCGGAGTGCATCTGCCTGACAGGCAAGGAACCAACAGTTTGCACACAGATGAGTTTAGATCTCTCAAACGGATGTACACGCAACACTCCGGTTCTGAAACAGGACTACAATCCTGAAGTAGACGAACCAGAACTTTCTGCTGGAGTTAACAGCTGGTAAACGTGAAGAAGATAAAGAAGATTGATGCTTGGTCAGGCTGGTTCACATTGCTCAAGGTTACAGGGGTGTCCGGGTGTTCTGCTGTAGATTGCATTCTGTCATGGGACCCAGGTTCACTGTGTGGGGGGGGGGGGGGTGGTATGGTCATGGCCAGTTGTACATGTTATGGGCGCCCACATCTTTAATATAGATCACGCGTGGTCACCAGTTAGGAATGTAGACCAAGCTGACCTCCCTGCCACTTACACTTGCCTGTCTCACAAATAAGGGCAGAGACTTAACGTCTAAGTGTCCTGGCGGACTTTGTCAATCATAAGTGTGTAAATGGGCGGAGCTGGGCCTGAGTTCCTTACATGTACTAAGTCCTACTTTTTTTTTCTGCCTGACATTCGCCAGTGGGGCCTTAACCCTCTACCAGTTGACTCTGTGTCCCTTCTGTCATTGTGTTGTGAAAAGAATGCTGCAGGAGATAATAAACTGGGTATCTGAACAACACTGACCATTCAGAGGAAAGGCAAATGGACATGTAATCAAACTGCTATTGTACCAACAGTATTGAAACTCTTCGCTGGCTGCTGAAGATGAGGTTGGAGCACTGGGAATGTCCCAAGTGCTGTGATGTCAGTTCTGAACTCAGTTCATTTCGCCTCAAGCAGAGAACTGTAGTTGTGAACAAATCGGAAGAAAGGAATTTATGAAACATAAGTTTTGGCCGTGGAAAAAGAGCAATCTGTTTCTTGGTTTCTTAGAACATATGTAAAAGATAAGGACCCTTTTCCACGCCTTCAGATCTATTGGGCATATAGGGCTAGACCTATATTTTATAGAGCAGTCGACACTTGGTGGGTGATGTGGTCAGGATCACCCCAACTGCCCTTACTTTTTAGGGTTGTTCTTGGTACCCACTCAAGGCTGGGTCGACCTGGGCCAAGGTCATTACAAAAAAAGTCTGACTCGGACTGGACCCAAACCCATGACCTTCCAATCTGCAGGCGAATGCCCAGGCACTACACCACGGTGGCCCTCCATCTGAAGGTTGGCTGACTGACTGACTTTCTACCCCACCAAGACATCACACAAGCAATAAACACCCGATGACACAAAGTGCCACCATGTGAATGAGGATCACCCGTGGAGAGGTCGCAGAAACCACGTTCAGCCAATTTGCCATATTTATGGCCAGGCTATATTGCGGCCCCTGGCAAAAGCCAGAGTGGGGCTTCAACTAACAAAAAATGTCATCCTAAAAAGGACGGGATTTTTATAATTTCTAGATGAGAGATAATAATCTGAAGGTTAGAGAGGATATTGATTTAAAGCAACAAGTTTTTATATTTACTGAATGATTGAAAGTTATGTTGCATATTTCAGATTGTCAATGCTTGTCTAACACTTTATTTGTTTTTTTCTGACCTACCAGCCAGAACATTCCACCTGCCAGGAAAGAGTTGAATTTATTAAATGTATACAGCTCCCCCATGGAGAAGTTGTTGTGTTTGAAGCAAGCCACCTCCATACTGACCAAGCCACGCAGATCTGCAAGGGAGAGCACTACCAAAGGTTTGTGTGCAGAGTTTTAGAGCTACATTGTCGCTAAAAAAAAAAAAAAAATTTTACTATGCAGTTTATAATTTGTATTTTCACGGCTACTGTCACTGTCTAGTGATGTGATCAGTGGCAGTTGTCGCTGCAGTTTGAGTGCTTAAAAAAATTGAAAAAGGATGCAGTTTTTCATCACCATGTTTAAATCCATATTGCCAGACTTACGCAATTACTTTGCCAACATCTTTGTTGATATAGCTTTGTCCCCTTGTGGGATGCAATTTTTCATTATTTGAGGCCCCACTCTGGCTTTTGCCAGGGGGCCCTGAATATAGCTAGGCCACTGTTGTGGCCATGACGGCTGAAAGGGGTTTTTGGGACCTCTCAAGGGGTGATCCTCATCTTTATGGTGGCGCTTTGTGTTTATCGCTTGTGTGATGTCCTAGTGGGGTACAACAAGCAAGCAAGCATCTCTGTTGTTACAATCGTCCCCTTGTGGGATGCAATTTTTGTTATTTTGAAGCCCCGGCTTTTGTCAGAGGCCCTGAATATATCCGGGCCAAAAATATGGCCATACGCCTGAAAAGGGTTTCTGAGACATCTCCACGGGGGAGCCTCATCTACATGGTGCCACTTTGTGTCATTAGGTGTTTATCGCTTGTGTGATGTCCTGGTGGGGTACAACTACCTACCTACCCATCTTTGTTTATAATAGATAGATTATTACGGTCTGAAGAGAATGGCACTGCGAGGTGTTACAAGGGGACCTGGCTGACGCTCGACACTCAGGGGAAAGGTGAGACGGATATACATCATCAGTTACTGGTGCCATCAGAATTGTAACTCTTTGCTTACTGCTGAATTTTGGGACAGAGCACTTATGGGGGTGTCCCTAGTGCTGTGATGTCGTTTCTTAATTCAACATTCAACACTCTACTCTGTCCCTTGTGGGATGTAATTTTTCATTATTTTGAAGCCCCACTCGTTTTTTTTCCTGGGGGCTGCAATATAGCCTAATGGTTGAATGCAGTTTCTGGGACCTCTTCACGTGTGATCCTCATCAGCATGGTGGCACTTTGTATCACCAGGTGTTTATCGCTCTGTGTGATGTCCTGGTGGGATCAAAAGTCAGCCATCTCTGTCTATATATGTACATATGTTTTCTGTACACTTAATTATAAACCAATCAGCGTAGACTAACGACCATTTAGCCCTGCCCTGAGATGTCACAAACCTAGCAGTAAATATTGGAGGAAGACCTGCATTTGAAAGCGATTTTTCAAGTCCCATGTAATGGGAGACCTGGTCGGTTGGGGCCCTTGGGTGACCTTTTTATACTGGGATACTGCCTAGAAACAGAGTATGACAAATTTGTTACTTTTTAAAAGATAACAAAGTGATAAGAGGTAAAAAAAAAAAAGTGATTTTATGAGCAAAGGAACAAGTGACAAAAATAGATAGATAGATAGACAGACAGACAGACAGATAGAAACATATATAGATAGGATGGATGGATGGAGAGAGAGAATGTATGTGTGTGGGAGGGAGAGAGAAAAAAAATGAATGTTCTGCATACATGCCTTGTCCTCTAAATAAAAGCTTTTGTGTATCATTTACTATACAAAAAAAAAAAAGAAAATATGTATATATTTACCATGTCACCAACAGGATGGCAACACCACCAACAGAGACTATGAATGGCCCTGCTTTCCTTACACCCCGTGTCCCTGTCTGCCTTCCCCTTTGTTCTACTCTCTTCTGTATTTTGGTGGAATGACGGGACTTGTCATCATCATCTTTACCTGTTGATTTTTTTTGCTTTTGTTTAATGTTGGGCAAAAAATACTGTAAACCATTAACAACAATGGAGACTGTTTGACAGAAATTAAAAGGAGGATGGCCATAGCAATGCAAAGATTGAACAGCCTTAAAAGTCTATGTTTAAGCACCATCAAGGAGATCAAAATTTTGAGAGCATGCATCTTACCTGTGGCTACATACGGATGTGAGTCCTCGGAAGCGCTTTAGAGCATAGAGTCGTGGACTATCTCTAAGTCCTTAAAAAGGAAAATAGGGGCTTTTGAGCTGAAATGCTATAGAAAGATTCTCAGAATATCTTGGACAAAGGAGAGGAGAAATACTGACATCAAGGAATTTTGATTATTAAACAGCATCCTGTCTCGAAATCTTAAATATTTTGGTCATATCAATCGCCACAACGGATTGGAAAAAATTATAGCAGAAGGCATGGTACCAGGAAGGAGGGGCAGGGGCTGACCTGACACGAAGGTGGGCACTGGATATAAGTGACTCCTTGAGTATGAAAGTACATGAGGCGGGAGAACTGGCGAGAGATCGAGTTTCTTTCAGGCAGACTGTGATAAAAGCGACGTTCTGCAAAGGACCTGCTACATGATGATGACGATGATGAAACCATGCCTTCACACAATAAACACTGTGCCCCATTGTTTGAAATACAAGAATAGACCTCCAGCCTCACCAACAAGCGCATCATAAGAGCTGACTAACTGGGGGCTTCCTTCGAAGTCAGAGTGCAGCTGCCTGAGAGGCAAGGAACCAACAATCTGCATTCAGATAAGTTAGATGTGTAAAACGAATGCTGATGCAACACAGGTTCTGGAACAAGACTAAGTCTAGAGGTGGACGAATGCCCAGAACTTTCCGCCGGTGTTGACAGTTAGTGAATGCAAAGAAGAAGAAAAAGAAATGGTTGGCAGTTAACTTTGTTTTCTTGGCCGACTTTTATTTAGTGATTTCTCATGTGAATCAGCTTACAGAAATTTAGCTTTTACCCTTGAGATATGTGTTTTTGACGGTCCGATGCCATTCTTATGAAAGTACTGATGCTGTTTATTAACATCACATTTGTAATGCACACCTTATAATCCTCATTGAGAGAGATGGAGCACCTTTAGGTTTGCACAGAGTGCTGTGACAGTTATTCTTCAATTCTTGATACATTTAAACCCATGTTTGCATTTTCAATCCTGTTTTTTTTGTTCAGATTCTGTGGCCTCAATGTCAACTGATGATCTGCTGCCAATACTCATCTTTCTGATTGTCAAGTCTGAGATTCCAAATTGGTGAGCCCTTTTCTCCCCCCAAGATAAAGTTAATATATGAATATTTATGGCATATAAGTCTCTCGTGTGAAGATGGAAGGTAAGGGGCAGCTTGCGTATTGCCAGCTGGCTGGCTGGCAGCATTTTGGTATGATTCTGTCTCCATATAAAGAGACTTGAAACATTTATGAATCAGGTGGTTTGGTCATCTCATCAGTGGGGAACCAAATCAGCCAACAGCTAGAGCATTCTACATGAGAACAGCAGGATACAGGTGATGAGGCTGACCTAGCAAGAGGTGAGTGGAGGGAGTAGAAGAGATACTACAGAAGAGACACTACAGAAATGTCATGTGACATTAAAACAAGCTACACAACTAACAAAAGACAGGAAATGGCACCAAAGTCCTCGGAAGCGCTTTAGAGCATAAGCAGTAGGACAACCAAAATAAAAACAATGAAAAATGTTGAATGTTTAATTTAGAATTGATATCACAGCACTCGACACACTCCCATAAACGCACCATCTCCATCTTCAGCAGCAAGTGTAGAGTTCCAGTTCTGATGGCACCAGTAACTGTCTGATTGTAAATCCATCTCACTTTTTCCTTGAGTGTTGAGTGTCAGCCAGATCCTCTGGTGACTTCTAGCAGCATCATTTTCCACAGATTGTAATGATCTGTTTGTGGCTCTGCTCCCAAAGGGCCCTCACAACATCTAGCTTCTCATACATCAATTCACCACCAAGTGGTGAAACATGAAGAGATTGAGTACATTGTTGAAAGTGCACAACCAGGTCTCAGACTGGCAGAGATCTTGGTGCCTATCCACAGACTGGATCCTCGGTCTGGGTAACATTCCAAGGATAGCTCACCATGCCTGTGCTAGGATGTGGAGTTCCCTTCCAGTATTAGACCTTCCTGCTGCTTTCAAAACTTGAAGAGGTGAAGGAGAGTTCCACAGCACAGATACTGTGGTGATTGTGCATATCCCTGAGTGGGTTCCAGGGCCTTATTGTATGAGGGGGGGGGGGGGATTAATGAACCTACAAGTGTTTCCTTCTAAGTCGGAGGGCATCTGCCTGACAGGTGAGGAACCAACAGTCTGCCTACAAAATAAGCAGCATCTGTAAAATGGATGTGCACACAAAGCAAAAGTTCTAGAACAAGACTAAAGTCCAGAAGTGGACAAACAGCCAGAACTTTCTCCTGAAGTTTACAGCCGGTGAACACTAAGAAGAAGCAGAAAAAGACTGTGGGTAAAATTCTGTAATGGATGTCTGACTTCTGAGTATAGCATTGGTGAGCAGTAGTTTCAGAAACAGCTAACTTAATTTTGTTTCATCATTCTCTCCCTATTGAAAGAGGCATATTTTTACAGTTGTTGTTTTTTGGTTTGTTTTGAACTAAGTTAATCTCAGTTTGCCTTTTTATAATTTTTTTTTTTTTAAATGTCATTTACAGGACTGCAAATTTGGCCTACATGCAACATTTTCATTTTTCAAAGTCCTCTGATGATGATGAATTTGGGTAATGACATTTTACAAATCACTTCCTGGTCAGTTATTTTATTTGAGAAAGCTGTTTTCATGAATTGGCGAATATGGCTATCTGCAGCCACTTAACATTTACTGATTGTTGCCAGAGAGAAGTATGTTTATCTGTGAGTCCAGAGGTGGGCTGATAAGTTGAAATTCTGTGTTAGTGATAAAGAAAAACTCAGGTTGTTCAGCTGAAAACCAGTGAGCGATTAACACCCAGTGACACAAAGTGCTGCTGTTCAGATGGGAATTCCCTCAGGTTAAAAAAAAATATCAGAAAGCCCCATTCAGTCACAAGGTTATATTGGGGCTCCGGCATTTATAAAGTAACCTAAAGTCCAGACGGGGTAGGACATTTATCGGTGATCGGGTCGCCCATTGGCTTGCCGGTAGATGACATCGTCACCGGTCAGGACAGTATTTGGGTCTGTGGCATCAACACTGCATGAATCCTTTTCAGGGCTGTTGGTGGGGTACAATGCTAAGCTATTTTATATGGCGCACATAACCTAATCACATTTATAACCTAAAGCTCTCCTTTTGGGGAAGCTAATTCCATGTGACGATTTATAATTGTTTTTTCTGACAAAGCACTTACAGCACCTAACTACAACAGGGTAGGGAATGATTTTCTGGGGTTGGAATTCTGTGTTACAGTGATGGCAGAGAAACATAGTTTGGATAGCTGTGTTACAGTGATTGCAGAGAAACATAGCTTGGATAGCTGTGTTACAGTGATTGCAGAGAAACATAGCTTGGATAGCTGTGTTACAGTGATCGCGAAGAAACATAGCTTGGATAGCTGTGTTACAGTGATCGCAGAGAAACATAGCTTGGATAGCTGTGTTACAGTGATCGCAGAGAAACATAGCTTGGATAGCTGTGTTACAGTGATCGCAGAGAAACATAGCTTGGATAGCTGTGTTACAGTGATCGCAGAGAAACATAGCTTGGATAGCTGTGTTACAGTGATTGAAGAGATAACAGTGATAGCTTAGATGAATAGCTGTGTTACAGTGATCGCAGAGAAACATAGCTTGGATAGCTGTGTTACAGTGATCGCAGAGAAACATAGCTTGGATAGCTGTGTTACAGTGATTGAAGAGAAACATAGCTTGGATAGCTGTGTTACAGTGATCGCAGAGAAACATAGCTTGGATAGCGGTGTTACAGTGATCGCGGAGAAACATAGCTTGGATAGCTGTGTTACAGTGATTGCAGAGAAACATAGCTTGGATAGCTGTGTTACAGTGATTGAAGAGAAACATAGCTTGGATAGCTGTGTTATAGTGATTGAAGAGAAGCATAGCTTGGATAGCTGTGTTACAGTGATAGCAGCCAAGTATGACAGTCAGGCAAAGTTAACAATTCTGTTTACTTTCGTACACTTGACCTCAATTTTTAGCTGCTCCAAGCTCACAGAGATTTGGCCTATGTGGTACCAGAGCATCAGTCTTGACCCTGGCCAGTACTGATAATGAAATCCTGTTGCACAAAGTCATCTTACCAATTTGGTTTTACCATAATTAGAATAAAAAGCCATGAATAACAGAAATATCAGAGTTGCTTGTGCCAGCTAAACAGTTGCATCACTGTAGGTTTCACCAGACTGGTGTGGCCACGAGAATACCCCAGTTGTATTTTCTTTGGAGGTTGATTAGGGTATCTGGGATTTGCCCTGTTGGCTTGCCATCTGTTGCATGCTGATTCGTGTGAGTTGTAACATTGTAGCTGGACGTGGTAGGAATAGTGTTTTCAGGAATCCACGAGAATTTTCAGTGACCTGCATCAATATTTGGCACAGTGTTGACTTAAGCCAGGAGTTGAGTCAATATTGTAGCAAGTGGGAAGGGCTTTGCACCGGAGGAACTGGTGGATTCATGAAGTATTAGCCATTGCGGGCTAACTACCATGACTTGGGTGAGATAGCTGCTGGTACAGGGAAGAAGTGGGACATGCATGACAGTGTGCGTCTCATGGGCACGGGCAGCTCACAAGGGGCAGGCAAGGGTATATACTGGGGTTGAGTGGACTCTTGAGCAGTGGCAGTTGAGAACTTGAACAGTTGGGTCGAGAACATTTGAGTGAAGCGAAGAAAGGAGAGTCCAGTTGGCAAGTCAGGCCAAGTGAGCTGGACGACTCAAGAGAGGCTGTTTTAGGTGATAATGCATGTAAGTGGGAGGATTACTAGTGAAACAAGACAGCAGGGATGCAGGCGATAGCTGTGTGCTGAAGGGGACTCTGAGCCAGGAGTCCTGCCAGTCATCGGAGTTCCTTCAACCAGGCGGCTGATGTGCAGTGTGCACATGCTGGAGAATGAGTATTGTGGCGTTCCCAGTCAGCTGATGTGTCTGCTTTGTGTAGAGCAGCAGAGGTCCAGTTGATTAGGAGAGATATCCTATTTATCTGTACAGCGAGCCCAGAGTTTGGGACACTGTAGACCTAGAACTGTAGCGGTCGGCTCATGTGTAGTGTCGGATAGTACAAGCTGAGAAGAGAGCAAAGGGAAGTGCTAAGTGTTACATGTTAGCCAGGACAGATGTCTGCATTACTTCGCTTACAATGTTGTGTGTGTGTGAGGGATTGTGAATACCCTCTGTGATTGTAACAATAAGTGTGCTTGTATGGAGGACATTACGTCGTTGAGTTTTTCTGTGAGCTGTGTATGGAAGCGTGAACTGTGCACTTAGACACTAGGACGTGCGCTGGTTGCTGTGAATCCAAGTTAGCACATAACACAATCCAAATTGGGATTTTGTAATCTAAGGGTGTCAGACATTGTGAGTAGCACCCCTGAGGGAAGAACATGGAAGAAAGATAAGTGACTGTGTGGTTTTATTTCAAAAGCCAGAGGAGAATATCAGTGACAAAGAAGAAAACAGACACTGAATTATTGACAGTAGCAAGCATTAGGAGATCATTCATCCAAATCATTAGGTTGTAATAAATCCAATGTATGGAGGGTATCAGCAGTAGATGGGGATTGCAGAAGTTAATCTTAAATGAGAAAATACCAAGCAAAGAGACAGAGAAAGATGTTTTTGGAAAACATAAAAATGGACATCATAATATAAGCAACATTAAATTTTGTTGAGTGACAGGGACTGAAAGCATATACATAATTAATCTATCATCATTACAAAATGAATCTGGCATGTTTAGTTTGCACTGTCCTGGACTACAAGATGACATCATTTAATTTCACAAGTAGTGAGAACACACTGCCACATTGTATCATTCATAAATTCAAAATGTATTTTTGGTCAAATATTTCAGTTTTTATCTGGCATCTGTGGAAGCTGCCCTGGAACACATCAAAAGTGGGAACATCAAGAACGAGATCAAACCACTGAAGGTAAATGTTGGACTAAGTTCTAACATAAGCTGTACTTTTTGATGGTTCTTTTTTTTCCTTCTGATTTTGTCCTTAAAACGATGGTTGGCACGTGATCTGCCTTTCTGGCCTAACATGTCAGATTTCAGAAAACCTTAATTAGTTGCTATTTATGAATACTTATGGGGGGGGGGGGGGGGGGGGGAAATTCTTCCCCCATAATGGGCTCCAGAACCCATATTGGGACTTTAATTTCTACAGTGCATTCCTTCACACTGCATTTACCTCCCAGTACATTACCTGACACCTATTTATGACTGGGTAGACCTGGTCAGTTTATAAAAAAATTTGCCTTGAAATGGATGTGAATAAAACTTTGAGCTGGCAGGTGTGAACATCTGGCCGGTACATCACTACAGCTTCCACCATCACCGGAACTCGCTTGTTTTAACACGCTGGTGTAGTTAGTAGAAGAACAAGAATGCAGGAAAAGATGACATCATTTGTTCTATTAATTTCAGAGAGATCGATGGAACAGTATATTTGTTGCTGATCTTGCGGAAGGTTCTGTGTCACGCACGTACACCAGGCAGATGTCCAATTCTGTCCTAGATGAGTTCTTTAAGGTATGTATTTTTTTAATGCCTGACTTTGTCATTAAACAGGTTTCTGTCCAACCTCTGAGACACAGGTTTCTGTCCAGCCTTTGAGACACAGGTTTCTGTCCAGCCTCTGACATACAGGTTTCTGTCCAACCTCTGAGAAACAGGTTTCTGTCGAGCCTTTGAGACACAGGTTTCTGTCCAGCCTCTGACACACAGGTTTCTGTCGAGCCTTTGAGACACAGGTTTCTGTCCAACCTCTGAGACACAGGTTTCTGCCCAACCTCTGAGACACAGGTTTTTGTTCAGCCTCTGAGACACAGGTTTCTGTCCAGCCTCTGACACACAGGTTTCTGTCCAGCCTCTGACACACAGGTTTCTCGTCCAGACACAGGTCTGTCCAGCCACACAGGTTTCTGTGAGACACAGCCTCTGAGCCTCCGACACATGTTTCTGTCCAGCCTCTGAGACACAGTTTTTCAGCTGCTGTTGAATTAAGTCAGCAAAGAGGTCTTGCTGCAATCCCCAGTAGAATACACTACATGCAGTAGGCAGATTCCATGTCTGCCAGTTAGTATTTCATAGGTAACCATACTGTAAGGAGGACCTTTGTGACATCAAAGCCTTTAAAAAAAGCCCTGTGGCCTTCTTGTGTAAAAACCACTAGCAGGGAAATTGCAAAAAAAGAGGAATCCCCAACTGGGGCAGGATGGGAAGTGGTGCCGCCTTTTTTGTGTGTTTGTAAATGTAAAATTATATTTTACTTATCCATGCACTCTACGCTAATTAGAACTGGATCTCCTGGAACAGAGGCAGAGAGCATAACATCATCTCAACCCTCTCCCTCCATCTTTGTCATCTTCCTATTCTTCTTTTTTCCTATTATTTACCAGCTATAAACTGTGGCACACTGTTATGGTTGTTTGCCCAGTTCTGGACTTAGTCCAGAAATTAAGTTTTGTGTGCACATCCATCTATTAACAGATCTGGTTTATTTGTGTACAGACGCGCCCCCCCCCCCCTTTTTTTTTTCTTTTAGGCATATGTGCCCTTCACTTTCAGTGGAAACACCCCTGATTAGTTGATTTTTACAACATACTTGTTCGTGTCCCAGGGGGTCTGTTCCTTTCACCCCCTAAAAAGGGATCCCAGAACCCACATGAAGTACCTCCCCACCTTCATTCTCACAGATGGAGCCATATGGCACTGGTCATCATATCTGTCTACAACCTTCTATCTTGTGCTCATCCATTAGAGACAACTCTCCTTCCATGGTGCCGAACTGTGTAGCATCCTCTCCCTTAGTTTCCTGCCGCCTCACTTTCCATTAGATGTTCCAATTGTTGCAAAATACTCCAGTTTTGCTCTTCTCATGGCATGCCCACAGAATGTAGACTGTCCACTTCAAATGCAGATAATCAGTTCTCTCTATGAATAACTTTCCTACTTTCTTTTCTCATTATTCTTATATGAAACCTCTTCCACTTCAGCATTCTGAACCTTTAAAGTTCATCGCAGCATGTAACAATCCCCATTCCCCTTATCTCCATGTAACAATCCCCATTCCCCTCATCTTCATGTAACAACGCCCATTCCCCTCATCTTCATGTAACAACCACCATCCCCAACATCTCCCTGTAATAACCCCCATTTTCATCTCCATATAATAACCCCCATTCCCCTCATCTCCATGTAACAATCCCCATTCCCCTCATCTCCATATAATAACCCCCATTCCCATCATCTCCATGTAACAATCCCCATTTCCCTTATGTCCACGTAACAACACCAATTCCTGCCATCTCCATATAACAACCCCCATTTCCCTCACTTCCATACATCAAAATTGGCTCTTCATCTTAAGAACTCCTTTTCTCATCATAGTTGACAAAGATAGATTGTGTATAAATGAGTTCTTATGAGTTCATACTAAACCTACTGAGTCCCTTCCTTATTCTCCACTTCCTTTGTGGTTGTTGTTGCAGCTAGTCCAGGAAGGGGATGTGATGGAGGTCCAAGAGATGCTCCAGCAGCCCTATAGAAGAAGTGAGGATGTCCACCAACAACTCTGCCACCCACTATGTTCCTGTGATCGGTGTGACAAGCTGCTGTCTCAACTCCGGGGGGATTCCAATTTAGTGACTGTCTATTCCAGGGACACTCACGGATATACAGGTAGGGATACAGAGAGGGATAACTGTCTACTCCAGGGACACTCACAGATATACAGGTAGGGATAACTGTCTACTCCAGGGACACTCACAGATATACAGGTAGGGATCCAGGGACACTCACTGATATACAGGTAGAGATAACTGTCTACTCCAGGGACACTCACTGAAATACAGGTAGGGATAACTGTCTACTCCAGGGACACTCATGGATATACAGGTAGGGATAACTGTCTACTCCAGGAACACTCACGGACATACAGGTAGGGATCCAGGGACACTCACTGATATACAGGTAGGGATAACTGTCTACTCCAGGGATCTCACCGATATAAGGTAGGAATAACCGTCTACTCCAAGGACTTCTTTCTCTTTCTTTTGTCGTCTCACTGATACCAGGCTGTAGCCCAGTATCATGGTTTTCTGTATTTGTCTTGCGCTTCTCGTTTGGCTTGGGTGATGGATATGTTCATCTTTTTTGCAAGTTTCAGCTACACCATTTATCCATCTCTTTCTTGGTCTTCCTCTCGCCTTCCTCCCAGAAGTTCTACTGTAAAAAGTCTCATTTTCACCAAATGGCCGAATCATTTCATTCTTTGTCTGCCAGTAAAAGCCAGACATGGTTTTATTCCAACTTTCTCTCTAATGCTGGTATTCGTAACCCCCTCTGTCTTGTCCATGTTGGGCACTGATTACATAAAGTAGGGTACAGATGCTATTAATCATTTACTGTTTTGCTGGAAGGGAGACATTTGGGTGTCTAAGCAGTGGGGCTAACTGGTAGCTAACAGCATTAGCCTTCTGTATTCTGGCTTCTTTCTCTCTATCACGTCTGCCATCCTCAGTAAACATGTCATGACTGCCTATCCTCGTTATCTCAGTTTTCATGATGTTTATTCTCATGTCATACTTTGTGCAGGTTTGATGTAAGGAGTCAATATAGTGTTGTAAATTCTGTTCTTGGTGGTGTATTAGACATTGATCATCTGCAAAAAGAAGTTCATTGATTTCTTCAGTGTTTGTATTTGCCTCCTGTGTAATTCTATCCATGTAAGTAATAAACAGCAATGGTGAGAGGAACACATCCCTGTCTGACAGCTGATGAGATGGGAAACAACTCTGTCATTCCTTCTGCTGTTCTAACTATGCACTGACTATATTGGTAAAGAGCCGTGATGTTACCCAACAGTTGATCTTGAATACCGTAATCATACTATACATTGTACAACTTTATATATAACCATTCATACCGTATACATATACATGTAAATGCATTTACAAATCATGTTTACACCCATTTCAGCCTTACACATTGCAGCATATTATGGCCAGGACAAGGTTATAGATTTCTTGGTCCAGAATAATGCCATTGTGGACACAGCGGACTATCTGGGACTGACTCCCTTACACCTGGCATGCCAGCGAGGACTGGAGAATGGGATTGTAAGTCACCCGTTTTTCTCATTGTTTTCTCCATGTGGGTTCCTGGGCCTCATTGTGAGGGGAAAACAATAGACCCACTGCTCCCACCTCCCTACCCCCCCCCCCCCCCCCCAACAACAACAAAAGTTAGTTGTGTATCCTTTACAGGACATTGCAGAACCAACACCAACATCTTTTGGCTGTTGTGCTTTTTCTAGGCACATTTTCCGTTTAGTGTTTGCTACTGCTGTCTAAACAGCCAGCTCTAGGTACCGCTGTCGAAACCAACGCAAATTGTCTGCAGCTGGTATTGAACCAAGCACCCCGGCGTTACGAAGCATGTTTGTCATGTCAACAAGCATGCCTCCACTTTTCGCATAAAAGTCAACTGATTAGAGGTGTTTTCTTTGAAGTCAGAGTGTATCTGCCTGAGAACTAAGGAACTGACAGTCTGCATACAAATAACCCAGATCTTTAAAACGCAAAATGCATGCAAAAACTCAGGTTCTGGAACAAGACTAAAGTCCAGAATTGGGTGAACAACCAGAAATTTCTTTCAGAGTTTACAACCAGTGAATGCAAAGAAGTCTTTGTTTGGTTAGTTATATTGCACAGTTTAGTGTAAATTGATTCTTGAGTTGACTTGATTCAAGATCTGACATCACAAATGGAGGTAACAGAAAGTTGACCTGGCAGGAATGTACAGTGGAACCTCGCTTAATGAGCATAATTCGTTTCAGAATCATTCTCGTTAAGCAAAACACTCATTATGCGAAACAATTTTTCTCGTATAAATTAATGTAAAATACGATAATGCGTTCCATGTGGAAACAAATTCTCACAAAGTGCGATGTATAAAGTTTCTTCAAAGAAAAATATATGCATATTGTTAAGGAGAGTAAATCATCTTCATCTTTTCTTCAAATGTGGAATGAACCCACATGGAGTGCGATTTGCAGAAAACAAAACAAAAAGTCGAAAAAATTATTATACATAGTTAATTATTTTCTTACTAGAAAGATGTTTTAGCAGACGCTTCAAAATTTGGCGAAAATGCGACACAGCATTATCATTAAATAAATTTGCAGCGTGCATAGCCACTTCCTTATTAGGGTGATGTTTCTCAATGTAAGATGCAACAGTTTGCAATGCTTTCAGCATTTCTCTTATTTCGTCAGAAAATTGTTGCTTTTCTATTACCTCCTCCTCCTCTGACAAACCTTCCTCCAAAACTTCTTGCTGTGAAACACAATGCAACTCCATAAGCTCTTGGTTGGTCAGCTCTTGGTTGGTCAGCTCTTGGCTGGGCTCTTCCACAAGCTTTTCGATATCACTATTATCCACCTACAATTCCATGATAGTGGCCTAAGACACAATCTCGACTACAGGTTCCACAGGTACTGTCTCGAACCCCTCAAAGTCACAAATCGACAATGCTCTCCCACCAAAGCTTCTTCCAAGCAAAAGTTAGGGCTCTCGTGGTAACCTCTTCCCCCGCCTTGTCGTTCATCTTGAGGCAGGCAACAATGTGGAAGTGATTTTTCCCAAACTTTTTGAGAGTGAGGTTGGTCCCTTCAGTCACCTGAAAACAATGCTCGAAGAATGCTTTAGTGTAGAACTTCTTAAAGTTAGAAATAACTTGCTGGTCCACGGGCTGGAGTAACGGAGTGGTGTTGGGAGGCAGAAACTGGATCTTGATGAACTTAAATTCTTCAGGGAGGTCATCTTGTAGGCCTGGAGGATTCATGTACATATATCACAATATAACACAAGTTTGAGAAAATCTCAAAAGCGACACTACGATGCTACTGGAACGAGTGCTAAACACAGACTGATGTAACATGTGCACAATCCAGGACTTTCCCTCTCCTCGCCACTCGTTATGCGAAACGTCGCTCGTTAAGCGAGTCATTCTTTTAAAATTTGTTTTGCTCGTTGTGCGAATTACTCGTTTTGAGAGGTGCTCGTTAAGCGAGGTTCTACTGTAAGTAGAAATTTAATGCACTGACAGTGGGCCAGGTAAAAGAATGTGTGACCTGCCATAAAATGTTATTTGTATTTCCCATTGCCAGTTGCGTCTGCTCCATTTTGGTGCTGATGTCACAGCCACAGACAGCGAAGGCAACGCAGCTCTCCACTTCTGCTGTGCCAATGGTCATGAGGAGGTAACTCTGTTTATTAGTTTTAGTTCTCTGTGTGTTTTGGTGTTGCTGATGATTCATTCAGGGGTGTCTGTATTTTTAGTATCACAGAAAGTTAATGCAGCCTGTACGAGATTATTAGTAGGAATCCCACCTGTTACTTATCACTATCATCATCATCATAAACCACTTTTGCCATTAAGCGTCGTGGGGAGGAATAATTTGTGATCCATGCACGTTGGCTGCCACTGGCTATTGTCATGCGGTGAAGGCGTAGAGTGTCTAATGTTGTTGATCCATATTTTCCGTGGCTGTCCTCTTGCTCTTGTAGCTGATCTTCTGAGATGTAGTGCTTGTGATGGTATTTGATCTTGTTGCATTCTAACGAGATTTCCAAACTACTTGATCTGCTGTTTCTTGATGAATGTAGTACAAGGTGTAGATTCCACAATTTGCCTGATAGTTACATTATTCACTTAATCTTGGATGGTTAGGTTGGCTGCTTTTCTCAGGCACCTCATCTCACAGGTGGTGATTTTGCATATATGGGCTTTAGATAGTGTCCATGTTTGGCACTGGTAGCTTAATGTTGGAATGAATATGCTATTAGTAATCTGTCTCTCTGCACTCATAGTTATGCTTGGATGTCTTAATAATGGTGACAGTTGGTATATTAGTGCACTTGCTTTCTGACATCTGGTTTCTATTTCTCTGTCAATTCTACCATCTTCTGTGACCATACTTCCTAGATATTTAAACTCCCTAACTTGATTCAGAGCAGAACAATTCAGCTGTATGTGTAGTGGGGCAGTGGTTTTACTAACTTGCATTGTTTCGGTTTTGTATTATGTAACACATTAATTCTATTAATATTCAGACTGCATGACTAACTGATGTTTAGCCCTACCAAGACCCCACAACGAGCGACCAACGTCAAGGTAAATAAAGTGCTACCATTTGAACGAGGATCACCCGCGCACAAGTCCCAGAAACCCTTTCAACCATTAATTTATAAGTAGTGCACCCAATTACAGGCGGGGTGAGTTTTCAATATAACAAAAATATTGAATGCCATATTTGACAGAGTTAACAATTAGACTGCACATCAGTTATGCTTACATTAATTTATACAATAGTAATCAACAAATTATTTTACTATATTTGTTAGTAATTTATTTTAAAAAAAAGGTAAAGGCAGACCATTAGGGCATGACATTTAAAACAATCACATTTCTTTTAGGCCGTGCTTTGATGAGGTGAATGGACATTTTCTTTTTTTGAGTCAATTTCTACAAAATAGTTCCCAGAAAATTATCTGGTCTTCAATTTTTGAGTATGGGTCAAAACCTGAACCTTCTTGGTCAGGGGAAACAAATCCTGCCACTGCTGGAGATTGAACCCAGACCACTGTCTTGGTAACCAAGAACAGATTCCACTATGCCATTGCAGCTCCAATTGACACATTACTGTAGGTAGTAACTCTTTAAGTGCACAATTCCCACCCCCTATTAATTGAGGCAACACGTTTGACACATGATAACATGGCCAGAGATCACAGAAATTCTCCTTAATAATGGAAGACAATTACCAGGCACAACCTACGCTTACTGCTAGGAAAGTTCACTTGTATGCTAGGAATAAATGTGTTGCTTGCCTTTCCATATGGAACGTCGCTATAAGTTGAAGATGAGTTACAGCTTGAATTTACTAGTTTCTATGACATTAAAATCTGTGTCAGTTAAAAAATTCTATGTTCTTACCGTTTATTATGCACTCAGTTATAGGTGTACCACTGTTTGTGTAGCACTGTTTTGAAAGATGCATGTTTGCGCACTAGTGTACATTTAGTCATTGGTGTTGAACATGTGAGGGAGAAGGATAGATGTGGATAGACAGTGACCGTTAGTTTAGTATGGGACTGACTGCTTTGTTTTATTGTATATGCCATGCATATGTTTTCAGTTGACGACTTCATGAAATGCTTCTTTAGTTTCTTTAATTTATTTTATGTAGATTTTGTTTGCTGTGCCCAAAAAGGTATCTGACACCATGTCTGAAATGTCTTGTGTGATTGTTGAATTACTGTAGTCTTGAGTTATGAATGATTAAAATGTCTGGTGTCATGTGATCTGCAGTGTGTGAGAACTTTACTGGCCCATGCAAGCAGTCGAGGACAGTTGGTCATTAATTCAGCTAATGAGCACGGGGACACTGCCTTACATTTTGCTGCCAAATGGGGCTATGGTAATATTATTTGTCAAATGTTTAATAATTATAATATTCAGTATGTAATTCCTTTCTCTGCCTCATGAGTTTTCAGTACTTTGTAAACATTTGTTTATCTCTTTTTAACAAACCTTAGTGAGAATGATTTTACAAAACTCATATAAATGTTTGTGGAACTTATATTATTATTGATATTATATGAAGTGAAACATCTTTCCTCAGTTGTATTACACTTTGATCATTTTTGTCTACATTTTTTATCTTCTTCTTCTTCTTCTGCCTTTCTATCCCCCAATGGAGCGTAGACCCTCAACCAACTCACGCTAGTTCTATCTTTTGCTATCGCATATGTCCTCCCCATCTTTCTAACTTCATTCTCCAGCTCCCTTCTCCATGTGTTTATTGGCCTTCCTTTATTCCTATGCCCCTGTAGGTTCCAGTGCAAAGATAATCTAGTTAAATTGCTCTCCACTTTTCTTAATGTCCTATCCAACGCCAGCGTCTTTTCTCCACCTCTTCGCCCACTGGAGCTTGCTTAGTTCTCTCCCAAAGCTCTACATGAATGATTCTATCATATAATTAAATTCCCTCTCTTCTGCGCAGACACAAGTTAATGTAAATCTGTAGTTTATTAGCAATTGCTTAGTTCTTCTCCATGTTTCCACTCTATACAAAAGTACTGATTAAAAGATTTTAAGTTTAGTATTTCTTTTAATAATTTTTTTTTTCCACCTTCTCTTTTCTCTAACCAGAATCCATTGTGAAGATATTACTGGAGAACGGAGCTGATGCCAAACTGTGCAACAAGAAAAAGCAAACACCAGTGTCCCTGGCACAGAATGTCATTGTTCAACGATGGCTCCTGACAGCCACAGAAAGATCAGACTTGCAGACATCTCATTCTTTGGTAAGCAAGCTTCTGCCTTATATTGTCAGAGGCCCACTATAGAAGGAAAGGAAAGAAACATTTAAAGCATGTCCTAGGAGGAGACTAAGGACTAGAGAAGGAAAGGATAAAAACATTTGAAGAATGTCCTGAGAGAAGAAGGGTTGCCATAAGGCTGGCCTCTACTGTCTTATAAAAGTACCTTAGCTGCAAAATCCAGCCAGTCATGAGCAAGACTACTGAAAGAGTACATGTGAGATAAGTGAGGGCTCATGCTCTATTGGGTGATATCATGCTATATTGGGTGATATCATGCTATATTGGGTGATATTGTGCTATATTGGATGATATCAGGCTATATTGGGTGATATCGTGCTATATTGGGTGATATCGTGCTATATTGGGTGATATCAGGCTATATTGGGGCTATATTGGGTGATATCATGCTATATTGGGTGATATCATGCTATATTGGGTGATATTGTGCTATATTGGGTGATATCAGGCTATATTGGGTGATATTGTGCTATAGTGGGTGATATCGTGCTATATTTGGTGATATCATGCTATATTGGGTGATATCATGCTATATTGTGTGATATCATGCTATATTGGGTGGTATCATGCTATATTGGGTGGTATCGTGCTATAATGGGTGATATCATGCTATATTGGGTGATATTGTGCTATATTGGGTGATATCACGCTATATTGGGTGATATCGTGCTATATTGGGTGATATCGTGATATATTGGGTGATATCGTGCTATATTGGGTGATATCGTACTATATTGGGTGATATCGTGCTATATTGGGTGGTATCATGCTATATTGGGTGATATTGTGCTTTATTGGGTGATATCAGGCTATATTGGGTGATATCAGGCTATATTGGGTGATATCGTGCTATATTGGGTGATATCGTGCTATATTGGGTAATATCGTGCTATATTGGGTGATATCATGCTATATTGGGTGATATCATGCTATATTAGGTAATATCATGCTATTAGGTAAAATCATGCTATATTGGGTGATATCATGCTATATTAGGTGATATCATGCTATATTGGGTGATATCATGCTATATTGGGTGATATCATGCTATATTGGGTGATATCATGCAGAAGTAAATTAAAAACAAAAAAATAGCGGTAATCATGCTTAAATAGTAGTTGTAGTGAAGTAGAAGTGGCAGTATTGTTAATAGCAGTAGCAGTAATAGAAGTAGTATTCTGTATTAATTATGATAATAGTAACAGTAGCAGTAGTTACTGCATTAGCAGTAGCAGCAGTAATAACTGCATCGTCAGTAGAAGCTGCAGCAGTAGTAGTAGTAGCTGCATCATCATTAGTAGTAGTAGCTGCATCAGCATTAGTAATAGTAGTTGCAGTTGTAGATGCATCAGCAGCAGTAGTAGTAGTAGCAATATTACAATGTTTTCCAGAAAAACACTAGGCCTTATATTAATTTTTGCTTAAAAAAAGCACCAGGGTTTACTGTTTAGAGGATGCCTTTTTTCATATAAAAAATCTGCATTTATTCTTGCACAAAATTCAACATTTATTCAAATACAGTCATGTCATCTTCTTCTCCAACATTTTCGTAACTTTCCCAATCCCACATTCTGGTCTGAATTTCTTGAGACTTCATTTCTGGTAGAACCATTGGCCCCGATCTCTCTTGTCCTCAAATGAGCATTTCTTGTCCCTGTACCTGTTGTGTTTTTTGGGGAAACATAGTAGTAGTCCTTCTTTGCATTCACTAGCTGTAAACTCTGACAGAAATTTCTGTGTGTACATCCACTTCTGGACTCTAGTCTTAAATGTCTGGGTGTATGTCCACTTCTGGACTGTAGTCTTAAATTTCTGTGTGTACGTCCACTTCTGGACTCTAGTCTTACTTGTCTGGGTGTACGTCCACTGCTGGACTCTAGTCTTACATGTCTGGGTGTATGTCCACTTCTGGACTCTAGTCTTAAATGTCTGGGTGTACGTCCACTGCTGGACTCTAGTCTTACTTGTCTGGGTGTACGTCACCTTCTAGACTCTAGTCTTACATGTCTGGGTGTATGTCCACTTCTGGACTCTAGTCTTACATGTCTGGGTGTACGTCCACTTCTGGGCTCTAGTCTTACTTGTCTGGGTGTACGTCCACTTCTGGACTCTAGTCTTACTTGTCTGGGTGTACGTCCACTTCTGGACTATAGTCTCACATGTCTGGGTGTATGTCCACTTCTGGACTCTAGTCTTACATGTCTGGGTGTACGTCCACTTCTGGACTATAGTCTCACATGTCTGGGTGTACGTCCACTTCTAGACTCTAGTCTTACATGTCTGGGTGTATGTCCACTTCTGGACTCTAGTCTTACATGTCTGGGTGTACGTCCACTTCTGGACTATAGTCTCACATGTCTGGGTGTACGTCCACTTCTAGACTCTAGTCTTACATGTCTGGGTGTATGTCCACTTCTGGACTCTAGTCTTACATGTCTGGGTGTATGTCCACTTCTGGACTCTAGTCTTACATGTCTGGGTGTATGTCCACTTCTGGACTCTAGTCTTACATGTCTGGGTGTACGTCCACTTCTGGACTCTAGTCTTAAATGTCTGGGTGTACGTCCACTTCTGGACTCTAGTCTTACATGTCTGGGTGTACGTCCACTTCTGGACTCTAGTCTTAAATGTCTGGGTGTATGTCCACTTCTGGACTCTAGTCTTACATGTCTGGGTGTATGTCCACTTCTGGACTCTAGTCTTACATGTCTGGGTGTACGTCCACTTCTGGACTCTAGTCTTAAATGTCTGGGTGTATGTCCACTTCTGGACTCTAGTCTTAAATGTCTGGGTGTACGTCCACTTCTGGACTCTAGTCTTACATGTCTGGGTGTACGTCCACTTCTGGACTCTAGTCTTAAATGTCTGGGTGTACGTCCACTTCTGGACTCTAGTCTTAAATGTCTGGGTGTACGTCCACTTCTGGACTCTAGTCTTAAATGTCTGTGTACATCCACCCCTGGACTCTAGTCTTAAATGTCTGGATGTACATCCACTTCTGGACTCTAGTCTTGTTCCAGAACCTGTTTGTTGCATGCACATCTATTCAACAGATCTGACTCATTTATATTTAGACTTTGGGTTCCTTTCCTCTTGGGCAGATGCACTCTGACTTTGAAGGAAGCTCCCAATTTGTCTGCTCTTACAACATGCTTTTGGGAAGACAGAGGGTCTATTTTTGTTTTGGAACTGACATGAGGACAGGAAGTAGTGTTTGATAAATGTTACTCTCAATATTAATGAATTTTTTCGCGTTCTGTACAGATTGTGCTCGGTACCATCAGTATTGGAACTCTGCGCTTGCTGAGGGCAAAGCACACATGGGAATGCCCCGAGTTCTCTTGATGTCAGTTCTTGACTAAACTGAACTCAATCCTCCTCTGTAGACTTCAAAAAGCAAACTCCCTAACACTGGAGATTGGGTCTGGCATATCTACAGATTGTCTGATTGTGGCTTATACCGTTTTTAATCTGCAGGGATGATTTCTGATTTGATTTGTTTATCTCTCTCCACTCAGAAACTGACTTTGGGAAAAGAGATCAGTTTGTATGAGCCAGAACCATCCAGTTGTGTGCAGACGGCATCACTTGAAACAACCAGTGAAAATGAACAGAAATCCAAGGAAGAAAAATTGTTTCAGGCTGTAATTAGTGGGGATCTGCAACAGGTGATTGGTTTCTAAGGTTCACTTCTGTTTAATATAACTGTCTTAATGTCTTTATTGTAACTGATTGTATGCCGCATGTTACCAGGGCCACTATGGAAACGACAGAATTAACACCGTAACCTGCCATGTATGGCCTAAGTGGTGATTAAGGAAGCTTGGCATGACACTTACTTTCTACTTCTATAAAAATTGTTAATTACTGAGTCCAGTAAGTCATGAATAAATCAGAATGCTTGTTTGAGGGCCTCTGCTCCATTTGTAAACAAGGGTTCTCTAGAATAGAAGGCTGATGTTAGGATAAGATGGTTTCATCTCTAGAATAGAAGGCTGATGTTAGGATAAGATGGTTTCATCTCTAGAATAGAAGGCTGATGTTAGGATAAGATGGTTTCATCTCTAGAATAGAAGGCTGATGTTAGGATAAGATGGTTTCATCTCTAGAATAGAAGGCTGATGTTAGGATAAGATGGTTTCATCTCTAGAATAGAAGGCTGATGTTAGGATAGGATGGTTTCATCTCTAGAATAGAAGGCTGATGTTAGGATAAGATGGTTTCATCTCTAGAATAGAAGGCTGATGTTAGGATAAGATGGTTCCATCTCTAGAATAGAAGGCTGATGTTAGGATAAGATGGTTTCATCTCTAGAATAGAAGGCTGATGTTAGGATAAGATGGTTCCATCTCTAGAATAGAAGGCTGATGTTAGGATAAGATGGTTTCATCTCTAGAATAGAAGGCTGATGTTAGGATAAGATGGTTTCATCTCTAGAATAGAAGGCTGATGTTAGGATAAGATGGTTTCATCTCTAGAATAGAAGGCTGATGTTAGGATAAGATGGTTTCATCTCTAGAATAGAAGGCTGATGTTAGGATAAGATGGTTCCATCTCTAGAATAGAAGGCTGATGTTAGGATAAGATGGTTCCATCTCTAGAATAGAAGGCTGATGTTAGGATAAGATGGTTCCATCTCTAGAATAGAAGGCTGATGTTAGGATAAGATGGTTTCCTCTCTAGAATAGAAGGCTGATGTTAGGATAAGATGGTTTCATCTCTAGAATAGAAGGCTGATGTTAGGATAAGATGGTTCCATCTCTAGAATAGAAGGCTGATGTTAGGATAAGATGGTTTCATCTCTAGAATAGAAGGCTGATGTTAGGATAAGATGGTTTCATCTCTAGAATAGAAGGCTGATGTTAGGATAAGATGGTTTCATCTCTAGAATAGAAGGCTGATGTTAGGATAAGATGGTTCCATCTCTTGATGATGAGCCATCTCTGCACGAGAGGCATTAGGTAGTATGACCATGTGATTAGACAAGAGGCATTGGGTTGTACGGCCATGTGAAGAGACAAGAGGCATTGGGTTGTATGACCATGTGATGAGACAAGAGGCATTGGGTTGTATGACCATGTGATGAGACGAGAGGCATTGGGTTGTACGGCCATGTGATGAGACGAGAGGCATTGGGTTGTACGGCCATGTGATGAGAAGAGAGGCAAGGGAGGGCATCACCCGTGCTGGAAGGATCGGCAACAGTAGAAAAGACAAAGGCTGATTGAGAAAAGTGATGCTGGATGGTCTGAGATTGTAAAAAAAAAAGGGGGGGGGGGTTCATCATTAGAAATAAGCTGGAATGCCGAGGACTGAGATCTGGGAAAGATATAGTGGCAAAGGATAAGAGGATCATTGTCAAGTATGATTTCCTTTTGAAATAAGTCTCAATAAACCTCTGTGATTATACAGTGCCCTTATGCAGTCTTCTTCCAGCCAATCTGTGAATGTCGTCCACCCACTTGTAACTTCTGCCTCTTGCACTTGTACATGTTTGCTGTTGAATATGTGGCTTTAGTAGTTGCCCTGTTGCTAATAATTTTTATGTAATTTTCAGGCAACTAACAAGACGGGGGACCACGTCAGTGTCAACTCAAGGACAACTTTGGGGTTGTGCCCTATCCACTTGGCCATTCTCCATAATCATATGGAGATAGTTGAACTCCTTGTTGCCTGCAGTGCAGACATCAACATACAGAATCATAAAAGCCTCACACCCCTCCATCTTGCCTGTTACATACGCAACATTTTGGTACGAGAGTATTATTCAAAGACTTAAATATATACATACATACATAATATACATTTTGTATGTATGTATGTATGTATGTATGTATGTATGTATGTATGTATGTATGTATGTATGTATGTATGTATGTATGTATGTATGTATGTATGTATGTATGTATGTATGTATGTATGTATGTATGTATGTATGTATGTAAGTATGTGTGTGTGTGTGTGTATATACACATACACACACACACATATATATTTATATTTGTGTGTGTATGTATATCTATATATATATATATATGGCTACCGTATGCTTTAATGCGAGTGTATGCTAGATATGCTGAGACAGCAGTCTGTCAATCTTTCCACAAGGGACTGTGATAAAAATTCTGAGTGTTTTTCGTTGGCACAGGAGCTGAGCAAAGATGGGGCGACCCGTTTGCTATGAAGCTGAAACTAAGACTACCAGACTACCAGACAATATATATATATATAACCACACATATGTGTATGTGAATATATATATATTATATATTTGTGTGTGTCTATATCACACACAAATATATATTAATTCACATACACATTTGTGTTTATATATATATATATTGTCTGGTAGTCTGGAAGTCTTAGTTTCAGCTTCATAGCAAACGGGTTGCCCCATCTTTGCTCAGCTCCTGTGCCAACGAAAAACACTCAGAATTTTTATCACAGTCCCTTGTGGAAAGATTGACAGACTGCTGTCTCAGCATACACTCGCATTAAAGCATACGGTAGCCATCCGAAGTGCTAACACAAACAGTCCAACATTAGAAATGCAGTTCATCATTGATGATAGCAGAACTTGTCGCCAACAGTTCAGCAGTTGTCCATGCGATCAATTTTAACCAGATACGGGCACCGCCAACATTGCACGCCATTTTCTGAATCTACAACAATTCACACCACCATGTTGGTCACAGTCGAAAATACATTCCAAATGCAATCCGCAGCTCACAGGGTCACGCCATGCATTCAACTCAGAAGCTGGGCGACGAAACTATATCCAGTCTACAAATGGAGCAAAAATACTTCAGCCACCGTCCGGCAGAAGCAAAAAGTTTGCCTCTGCTTCGAACAGCGCCGCTGTCTAGCGTCCATTTTAATATATTTTAATATTTTAATTATCTTCCTGTCTGACATACTGTGTGTCTGTGTGTATGTCTAACAGATACACTTATCTTCCTGTCTGACATACTGTGTTGTCTGTGTGTATGTCTAACAGATACACTTATCTTCCTGTCTGACATACTGTGTGTCTGTGTGTAATGTCTAACAGATACACTTATCTTCCTGTCTGACATACTGTGTGTATGTCTAACAGATACACTTATCTTCCTGTCTGACATACTGTGTGTCTGTGTGTATGTCTAACAGATACACTTATCTTCCTGTCTGACATACTGTGTGTCAGTGTGTATGTCTAACAGATACACTTATCTTCCTGTCTGACATACTGTGTGTCTGTGTGTATGTCTAACAGATACACTTATCTTCCTGTCTGACATACTGTGTGTCTGTGTGTATGTCTAACAGATACACTTATCTTCCTGTCTGACATACTGTGTGTCTGTGTGTATGTCTCTACACTTATCAGATGACATACTGTGTATCTTGTCTAACAGATCTGATCTTCCTGTACTGTGTGTGTCTGTGTGTATGTCTAACAGATACACTTATCTTCCTGTCTGACATACTGTGTGTCTGTGTGTATGTCTAACAGATACACTTATCTTCCTGTCTGACATACTGTGTGTCTGTGTGTATGTCTAACAGATACACTTATCTTCCTGTCTGACATACTGTGTGTCTGTGTGTATGTCTAACAGATACACTTATCTTCCTGTCTGACATACTGTGTGTCTGTGTGTATGTCTAACAGATACACTTATCTTCCTGTCTGACATACTGTGTGTCTGTGTGTATGTCTAACAGATACACTTATCTTCCTGTCTGACATACTGTGTGTCTGTGTGTGTATGTCTAACAGATACACTTATCTTCCTGTCTGACATACTGTGTGTCTGTGTGTATGTCTAACAGATACACTTATCTTCCTGTCTGACATACTGTGTGTCTGTGTGTATGTCTAACAGATACACTTATCTTCCTGTCTGACATACTGTGTGTCTGTGTGTATGTCTAACAGATACACTTATCTTCCTGTCTGACATACTGTGTGTCTGTGTGTATGTCTAACAGATACACTGGAGGGGAGAAAGACTATCTTCCTGTCTGACATACTGTGTGTCTGTGTGTATGTCTAACAGATACACTTATCTTCCTGTCTGACATACTGTGTGTCTGTGTGTATGTCTAACAGATACACTTATCTCCCTGTCTGACATACTGTGTGTCTGTGTGTATGTCTAACAGATACACTTATCTTCCTGGCTATTTTTTAAAATCTGCCAATGTTTTTTCATGAGTCTACTGTTTGTCTATATATATATATATATATATATATATATATATATATATATCTTTATTATATATATATCTTTATTATATATATATCTTTAATGGGACAAAGTGACATAATTCAAAGATGGACAGAGTACTTGGGGATCTGTATGATTGTAATAGACCGGAAATAAATTTGGAAGACAACAGTAAAGGTCCCCCAGTACTGGTTGAAGAAGTTTATGCATCGCAGCGCATGAAGGAAGAAATAGCACCTGCGCCAGACCACATCACATTGGAAGAATTGAAGCTTTGGAGTATTTTGGGATTGAAATAATAATAAAATTGTTTAATAACATTTATAATAGTAGTTACATTGCTAATGACCTTTTAAAAATCTATATTTATTGCTCTGCCAAAGAAACCAGACACTTTAAAATGTGAAGACTAACGCACCATAAGTCTGATGAGTCATGTGACAAAAATTTTACTTTGAATAATTATGAGAAGAATAAGTAACAAATATTAAACCAGAAATTAGTGAAGAACAGTGTGGATTTGTAGAAGGAAAAGGTACAAACAATGCCACTATATACATCCTCAGGACTCTTTCAAAAAGAGCTATAGAAATACAAAAAAGATCTTGCGATTGAATGACTATACGTGAAACATGAAGAATTAATCATACTACTGCAAAAATTATATACTGATGGCAAAGATTTACACATTTTAAAGAAGATGTATTGGCAGCAGACAGCAGCTATAAGAATTTATAACGGTTTGAGAACATTTCAGAGCATGAAGAGGGGAGTACGACAGGGATGTGTACTAGAGGGAAGTACGACAGGGATGTGTACTATCAGCTGATTTGTTTTCATTATACAGTGAATATATAATGAGATCTATCATAGATATCCCAGGAATTGTGGTTAGTTGTCATCACATAAACAACCTGTGTTACGCTGGTGGTCATCACATAAACAATCTGTGTTATGCTTGTGACACTGTCTTGATAGCCACAAGTCAGAAATAATTACAGGAATTGAAAGATGCGGTGTCGGTGGTCGAAAGTGATAAAATGGGCCTCAGTTTGAATAATGGAAAGACAGAAGTAACTGTGATTTCCAAGAAAAGAATCGTGCCTAAATGTATAATAAAAGTCAAAGGCTTTATTTTAGGACAAGTACAGAAATGTAAATATGTAGGCATATGGATGACATCCGATGGAAGATGTATCACAGAGATAAAGAACAGAACAGGACAGGCTAAAACTGCCTTTTATAAAAATGAAGAACATTTTGTACAATAAATCAGTGTCGTTGAAGGTTAGGAAAAGAATTCATGCATGCTAGTAAATGCAAAGAAAAAGGACTACTACCACGTTTCACCGAAAATAAGCCCTACCCCAAAAAAAAAATCCAAGCACAATTTTCGTGTTTTTGATACAAGCCCTACCCCCCAAAACAAATCCAAGCACAATTGTCATGTTTTTGATATAAGCCCTACCCCAAAAAAAATCCAAGCACAATTTTCGTGTTTTTGATACAAGCCCTACCCCCCAAAACAAATCCAAGCACAATTGTCATGTTTTTGATATAAGCCCTACCCCAAAAAAAATCCAAGCACAATTTTCATGTTTTTGATATAAGCCCTACCCCAAACACAACAAGCTGCAGGGACAAGAAATGCTCATTTAAGGACAGCTTCATGGATGTACCCACTCAAGGCTGGGTCGGCCTGACAGCCAAAGTTATTTTTGAATAAAGTCTGGCCTCATCTGGACCCGAACCCACAGCCTTCGGATCGGCAGGTGGGCATCTATCCACTACACCACGGCGACTCCCTGCCTTAGTCTAATAGTTTCAAAAAATCTAAAACTGTATTTTTCCGTTCCAAGATTATTATTTTGTTTCCCTGTTCCATGATTCACTTTTAATTTCCATGTGCCGCCAACAGATCATGGATGTGCTAGTCAAGGCTGGTGCCAAGCTGAATGTCCGGGATGTCAATGGAAACACACCACTGCTGGTGGCTGCTGGTATTGGCTTCCTTCCTGGTCTGCAGTTATTACTGAAGGTAGCTAAAATATCGCCTTCCTTGTTTGTTGTTCCTTTGTGTTTTTTCCTTACGTTTTTATAGATCTTTCTACTTTTCAATCTCATTTCTTTTTCTATCTGTGTCTTTCTCATCTGTCTTCTTTTTCCTATCTTCTCTCCTTGTCTGTAAATTTTCTTTTCCTATAAACAATCATTTTCTGTCTGTAAGTCATGTATCTTTCCTTTACTCCTTCTTTCTTTTTCCTTTACTGTTTCCTTCTTGACTTGTTTGTTTCTTTCCTTTCCTCCATGTTTTCCATCCCTCATGGTTGCTATCTTGTTTGTGCACTCAGATTGTTTTTGTGTGTGACCTGTAGGAGGAAGCTGCTGCTCTTTTGGATGTATTCATGCGCTGAAACCTAGCAGATGTGAGACTATAACTACTTTTTAGCATGCACCGATAAAGAAACAGAAAGTGTCTCAAAATTTCAACACCTTTAGTGAATAGTCAACTTTTAGTAGCAAGCAGTATTTACTTGAGCTGGTTATCTCCGCAGCATTTGAATTTAAAAGCAATAAATACTAAGACCTAAAGAAGTTTGACAGAGACACCAAAGACAGAAGTAGTTAAATTCATCAATAATACACAGAGAGTTAAAACATTACCTATCTGTTATGGAAGACAGCAAGAATATTATATCATCTTTGGAATCAGCAAGGAATGAATGGTCAGCTACTTGGTACTGAAAGAGTTAACAATGATGAAGACTCATCACTGTAAGCCAGAAGGAAACTAACCGTAGCAGTACATTTAAACAGCGTATGGAGCACCATCTAACTACAGTGAACATTAAGAGTACTTGTGTCATGGACCATGAAACATCATCTGAACCAGAAAATCAGGATTTCTAAACTTGAAATATTACATAAAAAATTCTCCTAATTCCATGGATTTAGAAGACATTAAAAAACTGACAGTCTACAAGATGTGAACGCCCAAGAAAACTGACTGACAAACAACAGCATGTCTCAGAAACTCAACCACCCATGAAGGGCATGGTTCCTGGAATCATTGACTGGTGTTGACTAGCATGAATGAACAGCCAGGACGTTACATACACATTTGGTATAACAATACATTGGGCAGGGAAAGTGGCAAGGAACTGGGTCTTTCTAGAATGCTTTGATGGAAGCGACGTTCTATAGAAGATCTGCCACATGATGATATATATATATATATATATATACACAGTAGAACCTCGCTTAACGAGTACCTCTCATAACAAGTAATTCGCATAACGAGCAAAACAAATTGTGAAAAAAATGACTTGCTTAACAAGTGACGGTTCACATAACGAGTGGCGAGGAGAATGGAAGTCCCGAATTGTGCACATGTTAAATCAGTCTGTGTTTAGCACTCATTCCAGTAGCATCATAGTGCCACTTGTGATCACATATTTTCTCAAACTTGTGTTATATTGTGATAGATGTGCATGAATCCTCCAGGCCTACAAGATGACCTGTCTGAAGAATTTAAGTTCATCAAGATCCAGTTTCTGCCTCCCAACACCACTCTGTTACTCCAGCACATGACCAGCAAGTTATTTCTAACTTTAAGAAGCTCTACACTAAAGCACTCTTCGAGCATTGATTTCAGGTAACTGAAGGGACCAACCTCACTCTCAGAGAGTTTTGGAAAAAACCACTTCCACATCGTTGCCTGCCTCAAGATGATCGACAAGGCGGGGGCAGGGGTTACCAAGAGAACCCTAACTTTTGCTTAGAAGAAGGTTTGGCGCGAGAGCGTTGTTGATTTGTGACTTTGAGGGGTTCGAGACAGTACATGTGGAGCCTGTAGTCAACGAGATTGTGTCTTTGGCCACTATCATGGGATTGTAGGCGGATAACAGTGATATCGAAGAGCTTGTGAAAGAGCTCAGCCAAGAGCTAACCACCCAAGAGCTTATGGAGTTGCATTGTATTTCACAGCAAGAAGTTTTGGAGGAAAGTTTGTCAGAGGAGGAGGAGGAGGTAACAGAAAAGCAACAATCTTCTGGCGAAATAAGAGAAATGTTGAAAGCATGGCAAACTGTTGCATCTAACATTGAGAAGCCTCACCCTAATAAGGAAGTGGCTATGCGCGTTGCAAATTTATTTAATGATAATGCTGCATAGCATTTTCGCCAAATTTTGAAGCGTCGGCAAAAACAAATGTTCTGGACATATTTCTAGTAAAAAAAAAATTAGCTATATATCATAATTATTTTGACTTTTTTTCTGCAAATCTAATTCGCATTCCAGGTGGGTTTAAAGAAAAGATGAAGATGTTTCACTCTCCTTAACAATTTGGATATAATTATCTTTGAATAAACGTTATTCATAGCATTTTGTGAGTATTTTTTCGACATGGAACGCATTATCGTATTTCACATTAATTTATATGAAAAATGTTTTTTCGCATAGCGAGTGTTTCGCTTAACGAGTATGATTCTGGAACGAATTATGCTCATTGAGCCATGTTCCACTGTACTGTTTTCAACCTGATTGTAAATAATTCTGTGCTCAAGACTGATGTATCAGCACAAAAGTGCAAATATGGCAGTTTGGCCATAAACTAGCACGAATGAAGTCTTCACCTTTTTCATATGTGCAAAAAAAAAAAAAAATAAGAAAATAAAGATGACTTCTAAGATTTTATTTATGCGCATTTCTTAGACAGGAGCAAATGCAAATGCCACAAATCACAAGGGAAATACTGCATTGCATGAGGCTGTCAAGAGAGATGACTTGGACATTTCTGTCATGTTGCTTGATGCAGGGGCGGACCCAAGAATCAAGAACAAACTTGGCAAGTTACCATTGGATGAAACAGATGTAAGTCTTCAATTTTAGAAGATATGAAAGTTGAACCCCTTCCCCCACCACCAAATTATTCTAAGACTTTAAATGTGTATTTCAGGATGAATATGATAGTTTGAGATAGTTCAAGTTAGATCTCCTACAGTAAATACATAGAAGATCAGTTAGCCTCATTTGTGAAATAGCAGTTTCTCTTCTTCTTGTGTTAGCTTGAAAGAGATGTTCAGTGTCTGCAGTGTTGCCTCTAGTTAGCTTGAAAGAGATGTTCAGTGTCTGCAGTGTTGCCTCTAATTAGCTTGAAAGAGATGTTCAGTGTCTGCAGTGTTGCCTCTAGTTAGCTTGAAAGAGATGTTCAGTGTCTGCAGTGTTGCCTCTAATTAGCTTGAAAGAGATGTTCAGTGTCTGCAGTGTTGCCTCTAGTTAGCTTGAAAGAAATGATCAGTGTCTGCAGTGTTGCCTCTAGTTAGCTTGAAAGAGATGATCAGTGTCTGCAGTGTTGCCTCTAGTTAGCTTGAAAGAGATGATCAGTGTCTGCAGTGTTGCCTCTAGTTAGCTTGAAATAGATGATCAGTGTCTGCAGTGTTGCCTCTAGTTTGCTTGAAAGAGATGATCAGTGTCTGCAGTGTTGCCTCTAGTTAGCTTGAAAGAGATAATCAGTGTCTGCAGTGTTGTCTTTAGTTAGCTTAAAAGAGATGATCAGTGTCTGCAGTGTTGCCTCTAGTTAGCTTGAAATAGATTATCAGTATCTGCAGTGTTGCCTCTAGTTAGCTTGAAAGAGATGATCAGTGTCTGCAGTGTTGTCTCTAGTTAGCTTGAAAGAGATGATCAGTGTCTGCAGTGTTGTCTCTAGTTAGCTTGAAAGAGATGATCAGTGTCTGCAGTGTTGTCTCTAGTTAGCTTGAAAGAGATGATCAGTGTCTGCAGTGTTGTCTCTAGTTAGCTTGAAAGAGATGATCAGTGTCTGCAGTGTTGTCTCTAGTTAGCTTGAAAGAGATGATCAGTGTCTGCAGTGTTGTCTCTAGTATGAACTTCACTGTCTTTTTTGTGTGTGTGGTAAAGTTTGTCGTTCACCGGAGTTTTTAATTGACCAGAAGTTTTGCCTTGATGCGCTGTATTTGAGACAGTAGATAGGGGGTGACTGCAGTCGAGCTGATTGCAAGAAATGCAAAAAATTACACAAAAATTTGACTAGAAAGCCTAATGAAGGGAATGGAAAAGATGCACCCAAACTCAGCTGAACGTTTTGACCAAAGTCTTTATCAGGGGAATACTAAATACAGCACAAACTCTGACTAGAAAACTCAATGGGCAAGACAAAAGAGCTAATTTAAAAAAAAAATCAGAAACTGTCAACATGAAACCAAGAAGTACATAAGGAGGGAAAAGTATAAATATGAAGGCTATACTGCAAAACAAAATAAATAAGAAGATGTATGAGAAAAGAGGGGAAGAAATATGAATAAGTTAAATAAATAAAGCTGTGTTGAATAGTGATCCCTCCAGGACTAAGAACGCCAAAGCTATGGATGAAACTATTTTCTACTGAGTAGTGGCTGGTTTAATTACCAGAGCAGGATTTTATAGCAGTGACTGAGATATCATTTTTGCCTTGGTGGTCAGAACTGTTGAAATGAAGAGAGACAGGTTTGAGAGCACAATGTTCACTGAAGCGATCTGCTAGCTTCCTACCGGTTTCCCCAATATATGCCTTTTTACATCTTTTGCAAGATTGCAGCTTTTTCTCTGTTTGGGACAGTCTTGGAGGATGTGATCTGTTATCTCATATACCAGTCCGCATGTGCAGGTTATTTGCCAGTCTTACATTTTGTTTACATGTGGCTGTGAAGTTGACTGTTCTGTTCTGAGGCGTAAAATAATGGCTTGCTCTGGTCTATATCCATGATATGATAATCATCTTGTGCAGGTGTTGGTGACATTCTCATTGATTTGATTATTCTTGTCTTCTTTTGGTAAGAAACTGGTCCATCAGGTTGTTCTTCAGTTGCACCTTCCTTAGCTAGCTGATCATAGCAGTTTCTCAAATACAAATAAAATTATATATTGGTTTGGACGGGACTGGGTTTAAATGTATGTGTGTGTTGTATTTACCTCCCCCCCCCCCCCACCCCCCCCCCCCCCCGCGTTCCTGCCTAACCCACTGTTAGCTCATGCAGACATGTGTAGGCAAGGATCTGCGTGTGTAATGTCAAGAGGCTGGGAGGACATTGTAGCACAGTGACTGGCATGTTTGACTGTTGACCTGATAGTCATGTCCAGACCTCCATGGAGATGGGTTTCATATCTGCCCGGGCAGCCATGTTGATCCAGCCTTGGTTGGCTAACATGTTCTTGGACTTGGGAGGATGGTTGGCATCATCTTCAACAAACACATCATCTATTGAGTTCAAGTCCTAGCAGAGGTTTCAGCCTTAGTGCAGTCGGGTCGCCCGATATGTGCTCCGTTCCTGTGCCAGTGAAAATCAAATTAAAATGTCCCTCATTTGAAAAACTGTTGAATAAACACTTAGTCCTGACATAATCCAGAAATATGTATGTAGTAAATGTATATGGCACCAGAGCCAACAGTTGCTACCAGAAATCCAGTTTGTTGTTGATAGAAGTAGTCAGTCACGATAAGTTGGCCATACGCACATACCGTTATTACATAAGTCATATTGCCATCCCACATTTAAACCAGCTGCCCACCATATTAAACACCAGGACACAGCCACTGCACAGATGAAAGGCATTCCACATGGAAAAACACAGCTGACATGGCTGTACCAGGCACTAAACTCAGTAGTGTAGGCAGTCAAATCATAGACTTCCATCCATATATAGAAACTGCTTTAGCCAATGTAAAGTGCTGTCAGGAGCAAAACTAAGCCTGAAGCTAAACATTCTGTCATGCCTGTCCTCCATATTGGGATGGAAATCCATCCATTGACAGTCTGTCAGTACAGATGTGGAGCTAGTCTGATTGGTCCTAGTGTGATGTATGTGTCTGATGGGTCCTGGTTGTGATGTGTGTGTCTGATGGGTCCTGGCTGTGATGTGTGTGTCTGATGGGTCCTGGCTGTGATGTGTGTGTCTGATGGGTCCTGGCTGTGATGTGTGTGTCTAATGGGTCCTGGTTGTAATGTGTGTGTCTAATGGGTCCTGGCTGTGATGTGTGTGTCTGATGGGTCCTGGTTGTGATGTGTGTGTCTGATGGGTCCTGGCTGTGATGTGTGTGTCTGATGGGTCCTGGTTGTGATGTGTGTGTCTGATGGGTCCTGGTTGTGATGTGTGTGTCTAATGGGTCCTGGTTGTGACGTGTGTGTCTGATGGGTCCTGGTTGTGATGTGTGTGTCTGATGGGTCCTGGTTGTGATGTGTAGTCTGATGGGTCCTGGTTGTGATGTATTTGTCTGATGGGTCCTGGTTGTGATATGTGTGTCAAATGGGTCCTGGTTGTGACATGTGTGTCTGATGGGTCCTGATTGTGACGTGTGTCTGATGGGTCCTTGTTGTGATGTATTTGTCTGATAGGTCCTGAGAGTGATGTGTGTGTCTGGTGGGTCCTGGCTGTGATGTGTGTGTCTGATGGGTCCTGGCTGTAATGTATTTGTCTGATGGGTCCTGGTTGTGATGTATATGTCTGGTGGGTCCTGGTTGTGATGTCTATGTCTGGTGGGTCCTGGTTGTGATGTGTTTGTCTGATGGGTCCTGGCTGTAATGTATTTGTCTGATGGGTCCTGGCTGTGATGTATTTATCTGATGAGTCCTGGCTGTGATGTATTTATCTGATAGGTCCTGGCTGTGATATTTTTTCTGATGGGTCCTGGTTGTGATGTATATGTCTGGTGGGTCCTGGTTGTGATGTATATGTCTGGTGGGTCCTGGTTGTGATGTGTTTGTCTGATGGGTCCTGGCTGTAATGTATTTGTCTGATGGGTCCTGGCTGTGATGTATTCATCTGATGGGTCCTGGCTGTGATGTATTTATCTGATGGGTCCTGGCTGTGATATTTTTCTGATGGGTCCTGGTTGTGTTGTATTTGCCTGATGGGTCCTGGTTGTGATGTGTGATCTGATAGGTCCTTGTTGTGATGTGTGTGTCTGATGGGTCCTGGCTGTGATGTGTGTGTCTGATGGGTCCTGGTTGTGATGTGTGTGTCTGATGGGTCCTGGTTGTGATGTGTGTGTCTGATGGGTCCTGGTTGTGATGTGTGTGTCTGATGGGTCCTGGTTGTGATGTGTGTGTCTGATGGGTCCTGGTGTGATGTGTGTGTCTGATGGGTCCTGGTTGTGATGTGTGTGTCTGATGGGTCCTGGTTGTGATGTGTGTGTCTGATGGGTCCTGGTTGTGATGTGTGTGTCTGATGGGTCCTGGTTGTGATGTGTGTGTCTGATGGGTCCTGGTTGTGATGTGTGATCTGATAGGTCCTTGCTGTGATGTGTGTGTCTGATGGGTCCTGGCTGTGACGTGTGTGTCTGATGGGTCCTGGCTGTGATGTGTGTGTCTGATGGGTCCTGGCTGTGATGTATTTGTCTGATGCTTCAAATTCCCTTCCTTTTTTCCACAAGTCACTTTTGGTAATCAAAGTGTTGACATATGTGGACAGTTTAGTTATACATTGGCCTGAAGCAGCATGCTTGAAAGGATTATTACCAAGTTTGAAGTTTGAACAACGGATCAACATCATGGCACACGGGTAGTAACCCATAAATGTTCATTTCTTCTTCAAACTCTTCTTCAAGCACAGAGCACATGCCCTGCAGCACCGGCGGGGATCCTGAAATACTTTGGGTAGATTTTTAACTCCAAATTTTGTGCGGGCAAATTATTAACAGCCATCATCCCAAATTGAATTCTAAATATATGAGTTTGTAAAAAGATGTATTTTGAGTGCAACAGTGGAAAATTTTTAGAAATCAAAATTTTATATTGTTTTGTGTACATGTGTTAATAAAAGGATCCGGCCATGCAGGAGAAGCTGAAAACAGCCATTTGTAAGATGGAGGCAGAAGAAATACAGGAAAATAATAATACAGTCTTCAGCAAAGGAGATAAAGAAGGTCAGATTGTTTATGTGGAACCTTGATACTTGTCTTGGCAGTAATTGTAATGGTTGATTCTTTCCATCTTATTTTTCTCTTCCTTCTGCAACCCTCCCTCCTCCCTTCCCTCAATGGAACAAGCCCAAGCAAACTGCCATTTTCTCTATCTCAGTGGATCTCAACCTTCCTGAAGCTGCTACCCTTTCAACAACATCAATGTTGTGGCGACCTCCAAACATAACATTTTTTTCATTGCTACTTTATAACTTCAGTGAATATGTGTTTTTTCGATGGTCTTAGGCGACCCCTGTGAAAGGGTCGTTTGACCTTTAAAGGGGTAATTTGACCCCCAAAAGGATCATGACCCATAGGTTGAGAACCGCTGTTCTAGCTCATTCTGACTTCCTCATAGTCATCTCTGTTGATAATTTCATCTCCATATGGTTTTTTGCCTCAATTTATTTTTAGCCGTTTTATTTTTCCCAGCTGTTCAGCTAAGTGTTTCCTTTTTTTTTAGCATGGCTGATGTAAGTTTATTTCCTATGTTTGTGTGTTTTTGATATTTTAATTAGCTGTTTAAATTATTTAATTTTTGCTGTTTAATTGTTTCATGGATAATCTTTGTTTTTGAAACTCTTTTTCTGTGTTTTGCTTTCAGCTATAGATGTTTTGTTTTATATTTTTGAATACTTTTTTTTTTTTTATATTTTGTAAATAAACTTTCATTTTACTTTAAAGTTTCAGTTTTTATTTAGTCTCTTTAATGATTATTTAACTTGTACCTGTCTCTTGTATTCCAGCTGTTTAATTTGTTTTATACCAGCAGGCTGTGCTATGCAGATGACAGTCCAGGAATTGTTTGCAGCATTTGAGGAGAAAGATCTCCACAGATTACACAGTCTAACGTCTTCAATTCGTTCATTCGACCACAAGTCTCGGCTGCGGCGTACCAAAACAAAAGACCCGAGTGCTCCACATCTGGAAACGATAACCCACAAACACTTGATACAGACGTTCGATAGGGGAACTCTCCGCAGAACTCATCCTGTCTATAAAAGTGACCCACTTCATTTGTCTGTGTTATCAAAATCATGTGATCTCCTAGAGCCACACAGACTTTCAGCTGATGCTGATAGTAAAGTTCAAGGTAGTGAAGTGGCAGATGCTGTGATTGGGGTGTGAAGTGTGAGACATTCACGTACGATAGTTGACTGCTAATGAGAAAGGGCGGCCAGCTCTTATTCTCTCTGCCTCACGTATAATTCTGAGACAGTTTTTTAAAATTGTCTGATGACCATTCAGTGAGACAGTGTTGGCCTCAGAACTGAACTTGTCAGAAAAAAATACTCCTGTCACTGCTGCGAATTGAACCCAAGCCACTGGCTTAGTTAAGTAAGTGCAGTAGCTTCTTTGCCCCTGTGGCTTCTGAAGTTATGAAAGTACTGTTATGTGGCTTAAATACTAGTAAATGTGTTTCACAATGTCATGTGTTATGATCATCGTTGTACTAGGGTTCAGTGTCTGTGGCAGATATTTTAATTTTTAAAAAAATACAACCTGTTTACACGGTATTGAGACAGTGGTGTGAGCATCATACTATAAAAGTAAAGGTAAAGTGGGGAGATGTGAACCAGCATCATTGCACACGGTTATAAATCATAAGTGCTCTGCCACCAGTACAGACAGCTGACAAGAAACTGTCTGCCTGTGTCGCTTCCGCACATAACTCTGTAGCTGCAGCGACGTTCCTCCATTTACCCCAGAGTGTCAACTCTGGTACCCATTTCCTAGAGGCTGGGTGAACCCCGGGAACCGCCCGGTTTTGAACACCGACCGTGACTGCAACGAGTCGCAGCTGGATTTGAAAGCAAGCCTCGTATCGACTGCGCTAATGCAGCCCTACTATACTGAGACCATAGAAGATTTTAGAGCCCCACCATGTGATATTGCCAGAGCAGAGGGTATATCCAACCTGCGTTGTGGAGATGGCACTCAACAATAATAATACAGTGCAAACCTGACAAGGAGAACTTGCTGGGTACCCAGTAAATGGTTCTTCTTATCAAAATTCCTATTGTCCAGAAAAGAATTTTAGCAAGAAAAGTTGCAGGGGATAAATAAATAGTTCTTCACAACAGAAATTTTGCAACATTCAAGATCGCCTAAAGCGGCCTGCACTGTAATGTGACAGAAAAATAATGTTACAGATATCAGCGCCTTTGACAAATAACGATGCTGAGATGGAACCTGTTGACCATGCCAGCTGGGCTTATATGGGAAGAAAAGAACAATAACTCTGTAACCTACCTGTAATGTCATGGGAGACAACTTGTGAGACCACTAGACTAGCTGTCTCGTCCTCTGGAAAATATGCTACAAAATCCAGCCAATCACAGGAAAGTCTAGAAAGTGTTTGTGTGACCTGGTTCAGGGTCTGTGTTCCAGTAGGAGATGAATAAAAGATATAAAGGACAGAGGAGTGCTGGAACCTGACACCATGGATGGAAGCCATCTAGAGCAAGGTAATCCAGGTTTTTTCCCAAGAGCCAGCATTTTAACAGTGGGATCTTAATGGGCCAGAAGCTCAAGCCCCAGATCATTAATACAATTGACAGGTGATCCACCGACCACCCATTAGGATTCTGCGGCCAACATTTGGCCTGTGGGCCGCCCTGGCCTAGAGAATGTGTGTCTGAAACGTATAGCTTTACAAATTATTGATTGTAAAATGATGGAACAACAGAGAATGTGTGTCTGAAACAGTATAGCTTTACAAATTATTGATTGTAAAATGATGGAACAACAGAGAATGTGTGTCTGAAACAGTATAGCTTTACAAATTATTGATTGTAAAATGATGGTACAACAGAGAATGGAACAACAGAGAATGTGTGTCTGAAACAGTATGTGCTTTAGTATAGTAGCTTTACAAATTATTGATTGTAAAATGATGGAACAACAGAGAATGTGTGTCTGAAACAGTATAGCTTTACAAATTATTGATTGTAAAATGATGGTACAACAGAGAATGTGGATTCCAGCCTTCAGTTTCAGAGGTGGCATGAGTACATTCATTTTGAGAACAGGTGTTTACCCCTGAGACTTCAGACCAGGAGCTGTACCAGCAGCCTATCGTGTAATCTGTTTCTGTTCGGAGGTTGAACAAGTTATTAAATACAAAAACATTTATTGAAGAACATGTGTATTTATGATTAGAACAACAATAAACCAGAAGAAGAAGCCCAAGAAGAAAAGTAATGAGAAGAAGAATAATGTGAAAAGAGAAAATGCTTATATTCATAAACATCTATAGAAATCACGGCTGAGTAATTAACTTTATGACCCAGCTACAGAAGCTTTCTACCCAAGGATTGAAGCCTCAAGGACTCAATGAATACTGATGTCTTTCACTGTTATTTGTTTGTATACATGTTTTGATTGACCTGTCTTTTGACCGCTCAGTGCCTGATCTCACTTTGGGCAGCTATTACAGTTTTTAGTAATGCTATTTGTGGTGTTTGTTTTAATTAAATCTCTGTTGGCTGGTTCATTGGTTGTAAATCTCAGGTCCGGTTCATTGACTTTTATATCATCTGATCTCCCTGTGTGGTTTCCAGGGCCCCGTTGTGGGGAAAACAAGAATAGACCCACAGCCTACCCAAAAGCATGTCGTAAGAGTCTACTAATTTGGAGCTTCCTTCAAAGTCAGAGTGCATCTGCCTGAGAGGCAAGGAACCAGCAGTCTGCATACAAATAAGTCAGATCTGTAAAACTGATGCACACGCAAAACAGGTTCTGGAACAGGACTAGTCCAGAAGTGGATGAACAACCAGAACTTTCCGCCAGAGTTTACAGACGGTGAATGCGAAGAAAAAAAGCAGAAGTATGGAAGGCAACGTGACTGTTCCCAGGTTGGTGTGATTGTGCTTCCAGCCTTGTACTCACGCTGAGACCTGGGTGCATGTGGTACTCACGCTGAGACCTGGGTGCATGTGGTACTCACGCTGAGACCTGGCTGCATGTGGTACTCACACTGAGACCTGGCTGCATGTGGTACTCACGCTGAGACCTGGGTGCATGTGGTACTCACGCTGAGACCTGGGTGCATGTGGTACTCACGCTGAGACCTGGGTGCATGTGGTACTCACACTGAGACCTGGGTGCATGTGGTACTCACGCTGAGACCTGGGTGCATGTGGTACTCACGCTGAGACCCTGGGTGGGCATGTGGTACTCACACTGAGGACCTGGGTGCATGTGGTACTCACGCTGAGACCTGGGTGCATGTGGTACTCACGCTGAGACCTGGGTGCATGTGGTACTCACGCTGAGACCTGGGTACATGTGGTACTCACGCTGAGACCTGGGGTGCAAGTGGCACTCACGCTGAGACCTGGGGTGCAATGTGGTACTCACTCTGAGACCTGGGGTGCATGTGGCACTTATGAAATGTCCATCTACATGTGGAAATCCAAGAGTTGTATCCATCTATAGTGAAAGCGATCATTGCTTATAATTTCTTGCCTCAACTCGTGATGTTTCCTTCGTCATTATGTGCCGTTCTGATCAGAGTAAACAGTCTTGTTTGCTATCTATATCCACCAAGTTGTAATCCATACTTTTCTATTCACCTCTAACATACACATATATATGTACACATACATATCACCCGTACCCTATTTGGAATATACTTTTCACTTCTTTTGACACATGCCTTTCGAGATCAGGAGGGTGGTATATTAATTCATACTTGATCTGATGGCAGCCTTTACAATGTTCGCAGGCTGAAGGGCAAACCAGGATAAAAACAGTACTTATCAGAGAGCTGCTGTTTGCAGATGATGCCGCAATAACCACCCACTCAGAGGAGGAGCTGCAATGTTTACTATCTGTTTTTGCTGATGCGTGCTGTGAATTTGGACTAACAGTCAGCAAAAAGAAGACAAAGGTTATGGTGCAAGGTGTCAATGACAGACCTACAGTCTACATTGACGGTGCAGAGCTTGAGACAGTAGACCATTTTACCTATCTGGATTAGGATAGGTAAGGCAGCAACAACAATGAGTAGATTGACAAAGAGAGTTTGGGAGAACAGAAAGCTCACAATTAAAACAAAAATCCTTTTATATCAGGCTTGTGTTCTCAGCACTCTGCTTTATGGCAGTGAAACTTGGTCAACCTATTTGCACCAAGAGAGACGGCTTAATAGTTTTCACATGAGATGCCTAAGAAGAATACTTGGCATTCGGTGGCAGGACAAAATCACAAACACTGAGGTACATGAAAGAGCGGGCACTACAACAGTCTTTTCCATGCTCAGTCTACGAAGGCTCAGGTGGCTGAGTCACACCTGGAGGATGGCAGAGTCCCTAAGGACATCCTTTGTGGTGAATTAAAGACAGGAAGAAGATGTCGAGGCCGACCTCTACTACGTTATAAAGATGTGTGCAAGCGGGACATGAATGATACAGGTATTGAGGTGAATTCATGGAAACAAAATGCCATGGACCGTGTTGTGTGGAAAGTGCATATCAGGAAGGGAATGAGACTGAAGGAAGAAATGTCTGGTGAAAGGATAAGAGCTAAACATCTTAAAAGAAACACATTAAACACAAATGTTGTTAACAATGGTCCTGAAATCCCATGCTATCATTGTGGAAAACTTTTCTTGACACGGGCGGGTCTTGCTTGTCACACTCCTCATTGCCATGGGCTGTCAGTTCCATGCCTCCTCATAGCGCAATATAACATTATCGTCTGGAAAGAGGTGCCAAAAAATGTGCACCCGAATGCTCTAAACACCCACATCTATCCCTCTCTCTTATCAATATATAAACATGATATATATGTGAGGTTAATAGGCATATAGGACGTGATATTCCTTATAGCCCATATTATATAGCGCCATGTATGCATACACGCACAGCCCGTAATATCTTGAAAGGCTAGCCGCCTTCCCGCTCTCTCTGTAACCTTTTAGAAGGAGAAAGTGACAGAAAGCAGGAGATGGTCCATAAGCATGGCCACAGTCAGGAAATAGGTACATGTGTAACGAGTCTAGTACAGTGCCCATGAGGCAAACACAAAACACGCCCCTGGACCTGCAGAACAAGGCTTGCCATTTGATCCTCTGAACATATCCTTGGAGCAGTAGTCAGGCAGAGAATCTAGCCCAGTGGCTCTCAATCTTCATAATGCCGTGACCCATTAATACCCTCATGCTGTGGTGACCCCAACCATGAAATTATTTACGTTGCTACTCCATAACTTCAGTAAATGTGAGTTTTCCGATGGTTTTAGTTGACCCTTGTGAAAGGGTCGTTCGACCCCCCCCCCCCCCCCCCCAAAAGGTTCTGTGGACTTTATAGGTTGAAAAGGAATCACTGATCTAGGGTGTGGTGGAACTATGTAAAATGTGTTTTTATCACAGTCTGGGTCCAGTGTTTAGTGTGGCTGTACATATGCAGCTGGACGTGGTTTTTATGTAGGTAAAATGCAGTTCAGTCATTTGACGTGTGTGGCTAAGGCGGTTTGTAATTTCGAGATGCCTGATTAGATTCCACCTGTGATTTCATAAGGCAGCAGCTCGCTTTGCGTTCGTTTTGGCTGCGGTTTTGAGAATCGACCGTTGAGCGGCAGTGGCAACTACTGAACGCAAACTGGCAATCATAAACAGCCAAAAATTGCCGGGGATTATTCTACAACGTCCTGTAACTAAATATTCATTTTACTCTATTCAGATTATAAATGGAATGTACCGGCGGATTCACAAACAACAACAATTCTGACGGTTTTTTTAAAAAGAAAGAATAGTAGTAAAAAGTAAAGGTTCCTTTTCCAAACCGTTATGCGTATTAGGAATATAGGGCTAGACCTACATTTTTTAGACCAATCGGCACTTGGTAGGTGATGTGGCCAGCATCACGCCGGCTGCCTTTACTTTCCATGACTGCATCTGGTACCCACTCAAGACTGGTTGTCTTTAACTACGTCTTCTAAAAGAAAAGAATCAAACAGGTATCAAAACCGGAATCCTCGTTGAACCGCGTAATACAGTTACACTGGAGCACTCACAGGTTGCTAAGTGAGCGGTAGTCTAAATAAGGTGATATATTGTGTATGTGCACTACGGTTGAGGGTGGAGGATCGCGCACTGTGTGATTTATATATATATAGTTTTTGATTAATCCATAGTACCATTGGCATTATAGGAGTCTAGTTCTGAATAAATCACTAACTTTAACTTACAAATATCAAAGAGGGCATCACACTGAACGATCAGTTTCGTAACAAAATTATATGGGTGCTCTGAAATATTTTTAGGAATAAAAAGATCTATTTGTTATTTGTGGGCGGTGCACCACGTACTTTTGGTGACGGGTAGTATGTAGATAGAGCAGCAACCTGTTAGGAAAACACCCTAATTCTGATCGCAAGTATGATAAATTGTTATATCAGTCCAACAAAGAGACATTAGGTAGTCTTATCCCTAAATATTGTGTATTGTAATAAAAACTAGAAAATAAATTAGGTGATAAAAGTTAGCAGTTGTTTCAACAAGAATGTAGTACACAGGTGAAACTAGGACAGCCTGTTGCAGGTAAACACAAGCACGTGGGAAATCCACTTTCGTTTCTTTTGGACCAATGAAGCGAGCTCACATCCGGGCAACCCCGGCCTCACTTTGACAATATGACCTGGAATCTACGCCATCTTGGATACCGATTTTCTCACAAAAATGGCCTTGGATGGCCACGCTTTACAACATATTCAAGTGGAAAACGTTATTGGTAAGACTTTTTGAGACGTACAATCTATTTAAGGAAATAAATGTAAATTACATTGACTTATTTTAGGCGAAAGTAGAAGTTGAATGCTGAATCGGGACCTACATTCCCGGCTCCATTTGTAGAGAAAGGTTCCGGAGGCGCAGGAATACTGTCCTCCCAATATTCCTACTCCAGAGCAGAAGTTTTACCTTCTGTCGAGCAGACGTCAGCAGGAGCCTGGATGACGAGGACGTTGTCTCTGTCTCACAGCTGATTCACTCTTTTGCATCTTGATCTGATGCTTTATTCCTTGATATTAGATCACGGTCAAACCCTGAAAGTAAAGAAGAAACGTGGTAAACAATGCCTGCCGGACATTACTGTTTATATTGCGATGTCGACACGGAAAGGATGAGTAAAATTACCGGCGAGACTGGGAAAGTAAGCAAGAAGTTTTTGAAGTCTGGATTGTTTGAGAAGAAAGTAATACTAATAATCCTGTCAGATAACATAACCCGCTTTCCTTGTTATGTTGAAATAAAACTCATCAAAAATATTCTTGAAATATAATATTGGCAGTCTGTTTCTCTCTTTTTTAATGCAGAATGAATGAGAATCAGTTAAAATAATTGGAAAGTCCAATGAGTAATAATTATTATCAGTTATTGAGTTAGTAGATAACAGGGTTACTTTTTAGAGTTAACTAACATAATTTTAACAGCAGTCACAGTCACAAAGATTTGGTTGCTAGCAATATTATGTAAGAATCTCACAGCAGTTATAATTCTAATATTTGCCAGTAAAAGTTGAACCATTACAGATGGAGGGAGGAGATAAGAGTGTAGGAGACAGGCTGCGAAATCAACAAAATATGTGTACAGTAAGTTATAGAAAGAAAATGATGACATATTGTGAGGCGAAGCAGAGCCAAGAATTATAAAACAGGCATTGATGTAACAAACACAGATAGATAGAGAAAGCGGGAACATCCCAACATAAAATGTTGAAGAAGGTCAGAGGTGCGGGGCTAGATCCCACACACTGTTGAAACATTTTCACAAAATACAGGAATTGAATTCCTAGCTTCCCAATGTGGGTTTCTTAGCCTCATTGTGGAAGGAAAGAATAAGCCCACTACCCCAAACAAGTTTGTCGTAAGAGCCGACTAGGGTTTTGTTGAAATTGGATATATTTGACCAAAAAGGTGCAGATACCGCAGCCTTGCTGTTGACTTTAATACAACATGCCAGCCTCCCTTTTAAGTGTGAATGCAGAAGAAGAATTAAGGCCCTTTGTGACAAATAATTGGCAGTCACAGGATAATGGATAGCATAATCAACTGTCCCAGGTTAGGTTCCAGCACCCCAATTTTGGTGGAGACAAAATAATAAAAATCACAGCCTCTTTTCTCTGTAGGTTCCGAGGCCCCACTATGTGGGGGGGGGGGGTGGTTACAATTAGTAGAAATATTACAAGCAGGTAAAAATAAGTGACAGTATCACTAAGGTATTGATTTACCAGTAAACTGTAAGAACAGTAACTATTGAATATGACTGGTCCATAAGTAGTATGAAAGCATTGGTTCCTGCTGGCCCAGTGATCAAAGCAGATTTGAATGTTGAAAGGGCTTTCAGGTTGACCTTACCAGAAATGGGGACCTGAAGGAATGATACTGAGCACATAACCCATAATTTTCTGACATGCAAAAACATGGGACAAGCACCGTAACGTCCTCATGGTGTAGAGATTAGCCCTTTCCTTCAAACATATAACTAGAAAGTGTAATGATCTGTAACGCAAGAATGACTAAACAGTAACAGGGCATTTGGGAGCCACGTTGGTGTAGCAGCTAGATGCTCGCCAAAGGTTGTGGGTTCAGGTCCTGGCAGAGCCAGGTCTTTTTTTCTTCAATGGCATCCCATGATACAAGGTCACATCCTGGGAAGTAAAGGTGGCTGGTGTGATGTTTTTTCACATCTCTCACTGAGTGCTGATTGGTGGATACAAATATAGGTCTAGCCCTATATGCCCAGTGCACCTGAAGTTAGGGAAAAGGGTCCTTTTTTAAAGTTTGTTAGAGGACCCTTTTCCAAGGCTTCAGTCGAATAGGGCTAGACCATTCAGCACACTCAGTGGGCAGTGTGGTCAGCATGATTCAGCACACTCAGTGGGCAGTGTGGTTAACATGATTCAGCACACTCAGTGGGCAGTGTGGTCAGCATGATTCAGTACACTCAGTGGGCAGTGTGGTCAACATGCCAGCCATACTATACAGTATTGTTTTAAACATGTTATAAATGATCTCCCACTGTTACCTAGAACACTGTACCTGGTATTTTATAAATCCACTGTCACCTAGTTGGTCCATAAGTAGTATATAAAAGCAACAACTGGTTACCTGCTGGCCCACTGTGATCAAAGCAGATTTGAATGTTATAAAGGGCTTTCTAGTTAACTTTATAAAACCTTACTGTTAGAAATGGGGACCTTTATAAACCTATACTGAGCACATAACCATTATTTTCTAAAATGCAAAAACATGGGACAAGCACCGTACGTCCTACTGGTACCTAGAGATTAGCCCTTTCCTCAATTTTTATATAACTAGAAAGTGTAATGTTATTTTATAACGCAAGACCTGATTTTTATAAACTGTTACCTAGTTATTTTATAAACCTCCCACTGTTGGTCTAGCAGCTATAAATGCTGTTACCTAGTTATTTATAAACCTCCCAAGTTACCCCTAGTGGGTTTAGGTCCTCCCACTGGTTATTTTTATAAACCTCCCACTGTTACCTGTTTTTTTCTCCCAATGGCATCCCATTTTTATAAACCTCCCACATCCTAGTTAAGTAAAGGTCCCACTGTGTGTAGTTATTTTATCACACCTCCCACTGTTATGCTGAGTTATTTTATACAACCTATAGGTCTACCTCGTTATTTTATAAACCCCAGTGCGTTTTACCTGAAGTTAGGGAAAAGGGTTCCTTTTTATTTTTTAAACCTCCCACTGTTACCTGGTTTTTATAAAGGCTTCCCACTGTTACCTGGTTATATTTTATTCATCACACTGTTCCTGGTTAGTGTGGTCAGCATGATTCAGCACACTCAGTGGGCAGTGTGGTTAACATGATTCAGCACACTCAGTGGGCAGTGTGGTCAGCATGATTCAGTACACTCAGTGGGCAGTGTGGTCAACATGCCAGCCATACTATACAGTATTGTTTTAAACATGTTATAAATGATCTCCCACTGTTACCTAGTTATTTTATAAACCTCCCACTGTCACCTGGTTATTTTATAAACCTCCCACTGTCACCTAGTTATTTTATAAACCTCCAACTGTTACCTAGTTATTTTATAAACCTCCAACTGTCACCTAGTTATTTTATCAACCTCCCACTGTTTCCTGGTTATTTTATAAACCTTCCACTGTTACCTGGTTATTTTATAAACCTCCCACTGTTACCTAGTTATTTTATAAACCTCCCACTGTTATCTAGTTATTTTATAAACCTCCCACTGTTACCTGGTTATTTTATAAACCTCCCACTGTTTCCTGGTTATTTTATAAACCTTCCACTGTTACCTAGTTATTTTATAAACCTCCCACTGTTACCTGGTTATTTTATAAACATCCCACTGTTACCTAGTTATTTTATAAACCTCACACTGTTATCTAGTTATTTTATAAACCTCCCACTGTTACCTGGTTATTTATAAACCTCCCACTGTTTCCTGGTTATTTTTTAAACCTTCCACTGTTACCTGGTTATTTTATAAACCTCCCACTGTTACCTGGTTATTTTATAAACCTCCCACTGTTACCTGGTTATTTTATAAACCTCCCACTGTTACCTGGTTATTTTATAAACCTCACAGTTACCTAGTTATTTTATAAATCTCCCACTGGTTTATATTTCCCACTATTATTTGCACATGTTATAAATAATCTATCAGTGTGATCTAGACATGTTATAAATGATCTCCCACTGTTACCTAGTTATTTTATAAACCTCCCACTGTTACCTGGTTATTTTATAAAGCTCCCACTGTTTCCTTTACCTGTTATAAGTATTGCTGTATATTTTTGACATGTGACCACCTGTGTTATTTTCTTTTAGACTATGCTCAGTACATCAGCCATGTGGCAAACTTGGACGGTGGGCTGCAGGGCCTCCAGGGACTTCATGGGCTGCAGTCACTTCCTGATGGCACCACCGTGGCCTTCATTGACCCCTCAGTCTTTGACCCCAGTCAGCTGTTTGACTCAGGGGCAATTGAGATCCACCACAGCCTGCCAGATGGCACAGTGGACCTACAGAATGTAAGGCACTGCTACAGCTGCAGTTCTGTGTGTTGTATGTTGTCCGTCATTCCCAGCGGTTGTCATTTTTCAAAAATATCCTGTTCAACCCTTAGGGTTATAATTGGAAAATATAATGTTAATTGAGTTCTCAGAGTGTATATTTATTATTATAAATTTATATATCATATAATTATTTATGTGACTAAAGTGTAATTTGTATTGTATTGTTTCACATTTTGCATTGATTTGGGTTGATATTCTGATAAAAATTGTATATGAATAATTAGACAATCTTACTAGCATTGCGGATATATTGTTACCTTAGTGTACAGTCATCGGATATTCTCCTTGATTTAATCTTTAGGGGAAACTACTCCAAATATGCCATGATAATTCTTTACCCTTCTTTCTATATATGGATGTAATATCTTGTCAGCAGTCTACCTCCACTTTTGTCACCCATCTTAGGTCAGCTTCATTACATGTTTACTTCCACCTCTGTGGTTAATCAAGGAAGGTCTCCTTGGCTGACCTCTCAGTCAGTTCATTATTTCGCAGTCCTCTGTTCAAAATATAGACACTCAGATCTATTAATCTCTTTCCAAATATGCACCTCTCATCTGTTGTCCAAAATATGTTCCTTTCATAACTGTCCAAAAAGTAGACTTTTCATAACTGTCCAGAAGGTAAACTTTTCATAACTGTCCAAAAGATAGACTTTTCATAACTATCCAAAAGAAAGACTTTTCATAACTGTCCAAAAGAAAGACTTTTCACAACTGTCCTAAAGATACTTTTTGTAGCTGTCCAAAAGATGCTTTTCATAACTGTCCAAGAGATACTTTTTATAACTGTCTAAAAGATACTTTTAGTAACTGTCCAAAGATACTTTTTGTAACTGTCCAGAAGGTAGACCTTTCATCATCTGTCCAGAAGATACAGCTTTCATAGACTTTCATTTCCCCATGTTGATTTGGGGGTGCCATTGTGGGACAAAGCAGAGTAGTTTCCCCTTCAAGCATGTCGTAGGAGTTGACTAATTAGGAGCTTTCTTCGAAGTCGAGGTGCATCTGCCCGAACAGCACACAAATAAGCCAGTAAAATGGATGTAAACGCAAGACTTATGCCCTGGGACACAGCCAGAGTCCAAATGGATAAACAACCAGGAGCTTGCACCAGAGCTTACAGCTGCTGAACAAAGAAGAAGAAATGAGTTGACTAATTGGAGGCTACTTTCAAAGTACGAGTACATCTGCCTGAGAGAGGCAAGGAACCAAAGTCTGCATAAAAATAAGCCAGATCTGTAAAACAGATGTGCACACATCACCCAGGTTCTCGAATAAGACCAAAGTCTAGAAGTGTACGGGCAACCAGAACTTTCCACCTGAGTTTACAGCTGGTGACCATGAAGAAGAAGAAGAAACACTTTACAAAGTTAGACTCTTCAGAATAAAAAATCTGGTTTGGTTTTAATGTCATGCTAGAGCTCTGTCTCATTAATACAATCTGTTATTTTGTCAGTGTCATCAAGTGATTCTAGAGCAGCCTGTTATTGAGCAGATTGGGGTGCAGGCAGCTACCTTGGAGACACTTGATGTCAAACCACCGATTGGGAAGGTAAGAGTGCTCGCGAGCACATCTACTCTCTCTCTCACAGTCACATGCACGCACACACACACAAACTGAATCTTTTTATGCTGCATGAACTACTAATTTCTCAAAATTTACCCAGCACCGTTTAGAGTGGCTCCATAGTTGAGATTTTACAAGTCCACGTTAAGTTTTACTGCAGGGCTTGTATTCCTTTCCAGCATTCTTCTTAATGTTCACCGGCTGTAAACTCTGGCAGAAAATTCACATCTGGACTTTAGTCTTGTTCCAGAACCTGAGTGTTGTGTGCACATCTGTTTTACCCATCTGGCATATTTGTATGTAGATTATTGATTCTTTGGCAGATGTACCCTGACTTAGAAGGAAGTCCCCAAATAGTCAACTGTTACCACATGCTTGTTTGGGAGACCATGAACCCTACACAGGGACTGTCCAGCATTCTACAAGTCGTGTCTGGTAATCCATGCTCTACCATCTGCTGAAGTTCTCATTTAGAAGTAGACTGGAGCTAAAGAGCTTTCAGTTATTGCAACTAAATACTGAAATTTACTCCCAAAAAAAAGTATTTTTTAAAAAGGGTTGTTTCTGAGTGCAGTCATAGTTTACATTCACCTTATGTTAAGTACTATAATGCACTGTTCCCTGTGGAGTAGCTTTTTAGTGTCAGACCGTATTATAAACAGTAAAAAAAAAAGGATTTAGAGAATTGTTTGTGTTATGTTGACCTTCGTAGTAGAGAAATGTAGAGAATTGTCTTCCTATGTTTGCCCATACTGCAGAGAAATGTATTATGTTATGTTGACCATCTACTGGGAAAATGTATGCTAAGATCATCAAAAAAAGGCTGAGACTATTGATAGTATCAACTTTCAGAAGCACAGATGGGCTTTCAACGAAACAGAAGTTGCACAGATGTCATTTATACATTGAGACAACTATCACAGAGGGCAATAGAACATGATAAGACATGTTTGTTGACATTCATAGACCAAGAAAAAGCCTTCGATAGAGTCGACAGGAATATGTTGTGGGAATGTATGGGAAAAAAAAAAGGGTATCAGCAATCATCTCCTTATATTTGCAAAAGCCTGAACGTAGTAAGTGCTGAATACAGATCGAAGGCAGGGTTGTCAAGAACTTTTATAGTGAACTCTGGTGTGCCTCAGGGCTGTGTACTATCGCCGCTTCTTTTTATGACATACAAGTAGTGGAAAGAAACTTTAATCATGAGAAGATATTACAGATTACTTTTTGCTGACGACCAGGTACTCATAGCAGAAAATATGAATGCCTATTGAACCCCTAATTCAAATTAGTAACAAAGGGAGGAATATAATATGAAAATAAACACTACGAAGACAAGACAGTGATGATAGGAAGACATAAAGACAATTTAGGTGTTAAATTAAAAAACAACACCCTGAGATCAACAGTAGGAATTTAAGTATTAGGGAGCATTTTTTTACATCAGACGGAAAACTGGACATAGAAATTAGCTCCAGATGTGCCAAAGCTATCAAGTAATTTCAACTATCTCTTCTGTTGATACACAATCAGATACCTCGGAGTACTAAAGTGAATCTTATAGAACTTTTTTTGGGCTAACACTATGCTATCAATGCCAAACGTGGACCTTACATCCTCCAGTGAAGTAAAATTGTGACATCATACATGAAATGCCTTAGAATGCTGCAGGAGTTTCAAGGAAAGACAGAATGCGAAATCATGAAATAGACGAATGCTAGGAATAAAGCCAGTCTTACAGGTCATCAAAGAACAACAAATGAAGTGGTTTGACCTAACAAGAAGTACTATCCGCCAGACACTAAAACTTTACAAGATATAGAGCGAGTGGGAGACCTCGAAAATATGGAGTGATGGCATTAAGAACAGCCTTACAAATGAACATTAGTCTGAATAGTGCTCTTGACAGAGCTCAGAACATTTCTCCCCCCGACACTTGTTGTACAAGGTTCAGAGAAGAGAAGAAACCATCTATTAGAGAAATGTAGTGAATTGTGTTTGCCCTTCTGAGGTAGAAAAATGTATAGAGATTGTCTTGTGTTATGTTGACCTTCAAAGTAGAGAAATATAGAGAATTGTCTTGTGTTATGTTGACCTTCAAAGTAGAGAAATATAGAGATTGTCTCATGTTTTGTTGCCCATCTAAGTATCGAAACATTGTCTTGTGTTATACAGGGCCCCTTTAACTGTACTTTGTGTGAGAAAGTGTTTAACAAATGGAACCAGCTACAGCGACATCTGAAGTCACATGATGAAGACAAACCATTCAGGTTAGTTCCATCTTGATCATTTATCATGTCATTGCAGGAGCTGCATTGCTGTTTTATCAAGACATTGTTTCTTACACAGTATGAAGGGAAAGACCTAGTTCACATTGTTTCTTACACAGTATGAAGTGACAGACCTAGTTCACATTGTTTCTTACACAGTATGAAGGGACAGATCTAGTTCACATTGTTTCTTACACAGTATGAAGGGACAGACCTAGTTCACATTGTTTCTTACACAGTATGAAGGGAAAGACCTAGTTCACATTGTTTCTTACACAGTATGAAGGGAAAGACCTAGTTCACATTGTTTCTTACACAGTATGAAGGGAAAGACCTAGTTCACATTGTTTCTTACACAGTATGAAGGGAAAGACCTAGTTCACATTGTTTCTTACACAGTATGAAGGGAAAGATCTAGTTCACATTGTTTCTTACACAGTATGAAGGGAAAGACCTAGTTCACATTGTTTCTTACACAGTATGAAGGAAAAGACCTAGTTTATTTGGATATTTAAATCATTCATCTTTCAGAATTGACAGGCAGATCTTTCAGTCTGTCATGAAGTATGACTCCTTTTGTCATTGTAGCATGAAATATTCTTCTTCTTCTTCTTCTTGTTCACCGGCTGTGAATTCCGGCGGTAAGTCGCGGTTGTTCGTCCAAAATGGACTTTTGGCTTTTACCTTGACCTGAGTTTTGCGTGTACATCCGTTTTACTGGCTTATTTGTTTGCAGTACTCGTTCCCCGCCTCTCCGGCAGATGTACTCCGACTTCGGAGGAAGCATGAAATATGACTTACAGTGTCACTGTAGCATGCAATTCTGAAAGATTATCATCAAATGACTCAAGGAGTCACTGTCTAGATGATAATCCAACAAGCAGATCTTAGAAACCCCCTCAACCCTATAAGACAGTTGTATAAGGGAACCCAGTGACCGTGAAGTGGCCAGTAGTCCAGTGTGGGTGGGCTGTATCACTTCTTTATTTAGTAGACAGGCAGTGTGGTATCTCATTTATTTATTGCCTTCTAAGAGAGAATCCCTTTGTTGCATGAAATTGTTTTTTTGTGCGTGTCAGTACATGAAATGTGTAATTTGCTGTTGATTTTACTGCAGGTGTAACCAGTGTCCCATGTCCTACAACATTGAGGACAACCTGCTGCTCCATCAAGCCACCCATGTGGGGCCAGATCGTGACCCAGTGTGTCCCGAATGTGGGAAGAAGTTCTCACGGGTTGCAAGTCTCAAAGCCCACATCATGATGCATGAAAAGGAAGAGAATTTAATGTGTGCTGAATGTGGCGATGAATTTAGTGTGCAGGTAGGAGGCCCCTTTTGTGCTTGTGTTTGGTATGGTACAGTATGTTATCTGTCTTGTGTTTGTGTCTGGTATGGTACAGTATGTTATCTGTCTTGTGTTTGTGTCTAGTATGGTACAGTATGTTATCTGTCTTGTGTTTGTGTCTGGTATGGTACAGTATGTTATCTGTCTTGTGTTTGTGTCTGGTATGGTGCAATATGTTATCTGTCTTGTGTTTGTGTCTGGTATGGTGCAATATGTTATCTGTCTTGTGTTTGTGTCTAGTATGGTACAGTATGTTATCTGTCTTGTGTTTGTGTCTGGTATGGTACAGTATGTTATCTGTCTTGTGTTTGTGTCTGGTATGGTGCAATATGTTATCTGTCTTGTGTTTGTGTCTGGTATGGTACAGTATGTTATCTGTCTTGTGTTTGTGTCTGGTATGGTGCAATATGTTATCTGTCTTGTGTTTGTGTCTGGTATGGTGCAATATGTTATGTCTTGTGTTTGTGTTTGGAATGGTGCAATATGTTATGTCTTGTGTTTGTGTTTAGAATGGTACAATATGTTATGTCTTGTGTTTGTGTCTGGTATGGTGCAATATGTTATGTCTTGTGTTTGTGTTTAGAATGGTACAATATGTTATGTCTTGTGTTTGTGTCTGGTATGGTGCAATATGTTATATGTCTTGTCCTTGTGCTTGTGTTTGGAATGGTGCAATTTTTTATCTGTCATGTCCTTGTGCTTGTGTTTGGAATGGTGCAATATGTTATGACTTGTGTTTGTGTCTGGTTTGGTGCAATATTTTATCTGTCATGTCCTTGTGCTTGTGTTTGGAATGGTACAATAATTTGTCTGTCTTGTGCTTGTGTTTGGAATGGTACAATAATTTGTCTGTCTTGTGCTTGTGTTTGGAATGGTACAATAATTTGTCTGTCTTGTGCTTGTGTTTGGAATGGTACAATAATTTGTCTGTCTTGTGCTTGTGTTTGGAATGGTACAATAATTTGTCTGTCTTGTGCTTGTGTTTGGAATGGTGCAATATGTTATCTGTCATGTCCTTGTGCTTGCGTTTGGAGTGGTGCAATATGTTTTTTGTCTTGTTCTTGTGTCTGGCATGGTGCAATATTTTATCTATCTTTTGCTTGCGTTTGGAGTGGTGCAATATGTTATCTGTCTTTGTGCTTGTGTTTGGCATGGTCCTTGGGGTTCTAAGACATCTTAGATTGTTACTAACCATTGTAGTTATGTTTATATTTCTTTATAAATCTTCAAGTTGTTAATAACTGTTAGCACTATTTTTTGTTTTCTTCACTGAGTTGATTCATGTGACTACCAGTAAATAAATTCTGAAAGGTTAAAATTAAGGAACCTGTCTCCTCTTCATCTTAGAATATTAAGGGATAAAATATTGAACCCTCATTCACTAACTCAGATGCAACATCACGTTATTAACACTTTATACACTGGGCAAATGGAGCTCATAAGCTAGGGGCTGCAATCCATCCGATGATGCTCATCCTAACAGAAAGGCAGGCTAAAGTCCCAAGGTGCTGAGTTAAAGGCTGCAGATTGTCTAGAAGAGTATCACAGCCAAACCTGACAAACTACAGCATTGAGCAACTCCTGTCTGTGATGCAAATGTCCCAAATACTTAACAAGTGCTACATGCAAGTGCTACATGCAGTAGAAAGATCCCCGCTTTGCTTATTTGGCATTTCAATAGAAACCAAGCTTGTGTATCAGCCTTCATAGAGACTTCTGTCCTCATCTGAAAACTTGACAGGAGAATGAAAAGAAGAAATAATTCCACTCAATTGGTATGTATCTGTCCACCTATATTGCTTCCTACAAAATGTCAGCTTACTTAGGAATTGTAATCATACAAATTATAACTTTCACAGTTTGTGGCAACTTCATTTTGTCATGTGGCTTGAACTATAAGGTTCGACGACCCTTGTGTTACACTCACCTAAAAACTTGAGTGAAGACAGTTTGTGGCAACTTTATTTTGTCATGTGGCCTGAACTATAAGGTTCAACAACCCTTGTGTTACACTAACCTAAAAACTTGAGTGAAGACAGTTTGTGGCAACTTTATTTTGTCATGTGGCCTGAACTATAAGGTTCAACAACCCTTGTGTTACACTAACCTAAAAACTTGAGTGAAGACAGTTTGTGGCAACTTCATTTTGTCATGTGGCCTGAACTATAAGGTTCAACAACCCTTGTGTTACACTCACCTAAAAACTTGAGTGAAGACAGTTTGTGGCAACTTCATTTTGTCATGTGGCCTGAACTATAAGGTTCGACGACCCTTGTGTTACACTCACCTAAACACTTGAGTGAAGACAGTTTGTGGCAACTTCATTTTGTCATGTGGCCTGAACTATAAGGTTCAACAACCCTTGTGTTACACTAACCTAAAAACTTGAGTGAAGACAGTTTGTGGCAACTTTATTTTGTCATGTGGCCTGAACTATAAGGTTCAACAACCCTTGTGTTACACTAACCTAAAAACTTGAGTGAAGACAGTTTGTGGCAACTTTATTTTGTCATGTGGCCTGAACTATAAGGTTCGACGACCCTTGTGTTACACTAACCTAAAAACTTGAGTGAAGACAGTTGTGTATTGTTTGGTTTGCAGCACCAGCTGGACAGGCATCTCCTGGAGCACAGGCAAGAGAGTGATGGGGCCAGGACCTTCCAGTGTCGACAGTGTCACCAGGAGTACAACAAGATGTCCACACTGAAGGAACACATGAAGCAACATTATAAGGTCAAGTAAGTATCCCCGCTGTCTGATGTGGCTGGGGGTTGTTTGTATCCCCGCTGTCTGATGTGGCTGGGGGCTGGTTGTATCCCCGCTGTCTGATGTGGCTGGGGGTTGGTTGTATCCCCGCTGTCTGATGTGGCTGGGGGTTGGTTGTATCCCCGCTGTCTGATGTGGCTGGGGGTTGGTTGAATCCCTGCTGTCTGATGTGGCTGGGGGTTGATTGTCGCTTCAGTTATCAGTTGTCTTGCCGTGGAGCAGCTTGTTGCTACACTGACATAAGAGTATGGGTAGTGGGCTAGTCAACCATATCAGTAGATTTAGTCTCTCCCCCGGCCTCAGAGTGGAGAAGTAATGTCTAGAAAGATGCGTGAAAATATTCAGACATCTGGATCAAGAATCTATTTATTCGCTTTCATCGGCTGTAAGCTTCGGCGGAAAGTTCTGATAATTCGCCCACCTCTGGACTTTAGTCTTGTTGCAGAACCCGAGTTCTGCGTGCACATCCTTTTTACTGATCTACTTTATATGTATGCAGACTGTTAGTTTCTTAGTTTCTATAGAAAGTCAGAGGTATATCTAGGGAGATGTTATAGATTTACTGTGGTGATATCCAGAGGAATAAAAGTATAATACATAGAGAGATGAAAGTATATCTCGGGAGATGGGCTAGATTTAGTATGGTGAAAGGTCATTACCAAAGCTAATGGCACGGGTGAAAATTAGTCACTGCACCTCATCATTCTGTAACCTAATAAATGTAAATGCACTTGACCTGAGACTTTTATGGTTGTTCACAGGGCATCACTACACCATCGGAACTATAAACGCAATGTGGACAGAACTGGCTTCTTCCACAAGTGTCAGCACTGCAACAAGACCTTCCAGAAGCCCAGTCAGTTGGAGCGACATGAGCGGATACACACTGGTCAGTGGTCTGTGCTGGGAGAGAGCTAGAGGGAATGAAAGAGAGTGACAGGAGGTGGGGGAAAAAAGGGAGACAGGCAGAGTGTGAGAGGATGAAGAGGAAGAGGGGAGAGTCAGTATTGCCAGTGTCTGTTTGTCTGTTGTAGATACACCTGATGAAGAGGAGAAGGGGAGAGTCAGTATTGCCAATGTGTATTGTAGATACAACTGATGAAGAGGAGAAGGGGAGAGTCAGTATTGCCAGTGTCTATTGTAGATGTATATGAGAAGGTTAAAAAGGCTGAAGTTTATGCCTGTAGTAATGTTGTTTATCTTCCACTTTTGCTGGCAAATTGTAATTGACTATTTATTTTCATGTTCCCAGGTGAGCGCCCATTTGAGTGCTACATTTGTCAGAGAACTTTCAACCAAAAGGGGGCGCTACAGATGCACATGACCAAACACACAGGAGCTCGTCCACACATGTGTAACTTTTGTCCCATGACCTTTGCTCAGAAAGGGAATCTAAGATCTCATGTACAGGCAAGTATATGTTCTGTATGTGTTAGTGGGTGCTATGGTGTGTATGTGATCATCATCATCATCATATAGCAGGTCCTTTGTAGTGAAACCCACTGGGGCATAGACATAGAGGCTGATCCCCCTCCCCATAAAAAACATGGAGACGGAAGCTAGAGCGTGAGGTTAAAAAGTCGGGGAGAGCTGCTTGTGATAGCGAAGAATAGAACGACTTGGGGGATAGAAGGCAGAAGAAGAAGAAGAAGAATCGTTTTTGTTGTTGTCTTTCTCTGTTAACGGTTTCCTTCTTCTCATAACATATATTCCCTGTTGCATGTTTGCACAGGCAACTTTGAGGTGTTTTACCTGTGATATATTGACAGAAATGTCAACTGTCTAATTTATTTACAGCGAGTGCACACCTTGAACAAGGAGGAACATGGTCAGATATATGAATGTGATGAGTGCAGCTGTATGTTCCGCAGGCTGGGATCATTGAACGCTCACATCAGTCGAGCTCATGCTGATCCTGGGGCAAGTATTGTTGATCTGTCTGTCTGCGTGTTCCTCTCTCTAGACCCATCCTCCCTGTCTTCCCTTTTCTGTAGCCCTTTCTAAACTTGTCTGTCTCCCACATTTCTTCATCATTTTTCTCCATCTTTCCTTTTTTTTCTAGCCTTCCTTTTTTCTAGGCCTTCCCCTCCTGTCTGCATCCCCTTTTCCTGAGCCTCTCCCTCCCTGGCGGTGTCCCCTTTTCTCTAGCCCTTTTGTCCCTGTCTGTCTCCTCCATTTCTTCATCCCCTTTCTCCGTGTCTGTCTCCCCTTTTCTCTATCCCCTTCTTCCCCGTTAGCCTGTACCATGGAAATATAAGTGAGGTAATGTGTTTATAGTTATTTCTGAATGAAAATGTTTGTTGTAGCAAGCAACTTGAAAGTGCCACCACCAATGGTACACATGCTATACTGATGGTTCACAAATAAAAGACTTGTGAACTTATTCATTTTTTTACAGTTGCCACTGCAAATTAGCGCTGTGTGTGTTCTGTAGAAGTTAGATCTGTATGAGTTATGTAGAGGTTAGATCTGTATACGTAGAAGTTAGGTTTTTATGTGTAGAAGTTAGATCTATGTAAGTTGTGTTGAAGTGAGATCTGTATACGTAGAAGTTAGGTTTTTGTGTGTAGAAGTTAGGTTTTTATGTGTAGAAGTTAGATCTATGTGAGTTGTGTTGAAGTGAGATCTGTATACGTAGAAGTTAGGTTTTTTTGTGTAGAAGTTAGGTTTTTATGTGTAGAAGTTAGATCTATGTGAGTTGTGTTGAAGTGAGATCTGTATACGTAGAAGTTAGGTTTTTTTGTGTAGAAGTTAGGTTTTTATGTGTAGAAGTTAGATCTATGTGAGTTGTGTTGAAGTGAGATCTGTATACGTAGAAGTTAGGTTTTTGTGTGTAGAAGTTAGGTTTTTATGTGTAGAAGTTAGATCTATGTGAGTTGTGTTGAAGTGAGATCGAGATCTGTATACATAGAAGTTGGATCTTTATGTGTAGAAGTTAGATCTATGTGAGTTGTGTTGAAGTGAGATCTGTATACATAGAAGTTGGATCTTTATGTGTAGAAGTTAGATCTATGTGAGTTGTGTTGAAGTTAGATCTGTGTATGTAACAGTTTTTTTAAAAAACATTTTTATATGTAGTAGTTAGGTCTGTATATGAAGTTAGGTCTTTATATAAAGAAGTTAGACCTGTATGAGTACGTAGAAGTTAGATCTGTATGTGTAGGAGTTAGGTCTGTATGAATGAAGTGGAAGTTAGGTCTTTACATTTAAAATTTAAGCCTGTATAAAGTTACATCTTTATAGTATATGTAGAAGTTAGGCTTGTATATGAAAAAGCTAGAACTATGTGGGTTACGTTTGGTCAGCGGGGATTAAACCTGTCTTCTGAACTGTCTTGCCTGTAGGAATGTGATCAGACCACAGTCCAGGACATAAAGGTCTCCCTGCAGCACCCTCTACACCAGTTGACAGAAATCAGTGATGCCTCTGTGATGCAAGATGTTCTGGGCCTGGATCATGTCGGTGGAGGCAATGATCTCACTGGATCTTCACTGGTTGATGTCCAGGTCATTCATGGATCTCTGGATCAGGTTTGTGTCTATCGGAAATTTTTTATAGAATGGTATAGAAACTTAATGTCTCTCAAATCTAGCCTGGTTTAGTTTATCATCTCGTAATTCATCTCACAAGTTTGAAGTTTAGATTACCATCACATAATTCATCTCACAAGTTTGAAGTTTAGATTACCATTACATAATTCATCTCACAAGTTTGAAGTTTAGATTACCATTACATAATTCATCTCACAAGTTTGAAGTTTAGATTACCATTACATAATTCATCTCACAAGTTTGAAGTTTAGATTACCATTACATAATTCATCTCACAAGTTTGAAGTTTAGATTACCATTACATAATTCATCTCACAAGTTTGAAGTTTAGATTACCATTACATAATTCATGTCACAAGTTTGAAGTTTAGATTACCATTACATAATTCATGTCACAAGTTTGAAGTTTAGATTACCATCACATAATTCATCTCACAAGTTTGAAGTTTAGATTACCATTACATAATTCATCTCACAAGTTTGAAGTTTAGATTACCATTACATAATTCATCTCACAAGTTTGAAGTTTAGATTACCATTACATAATTCATGTCACAAGTTTGAAGTTTAGATTACCATTACATAATTCATGTCACAAGTTTGAAGTTTAGATTACCATTACATAATTCATGTCACAAGTTTGAAGTTTAGATTACCATTACATAATTCATGTCACAAGTTTGAAGTTTAGATTACCAATACATAATTCATCTCACAAGTTTGAAGTTTAGATTACCATCACATAATTCATCTCACAAGTTTGAAGTTTAGATTACCATTACATAATTCATCTCACAAGTTTGAAGTTTAGATTACCATCACATAATTCATCTCACAAGTTTGAAGTTTAGATTACCATTACATAATTCATGTCACAAGTCAGAAGTTTAGTTTAGTCTTTTAATTCATCTGTAAACTCTGAAGTTTAATTTACTGACTTATAATTCATTCTCAAAAGTCTCGAAGTTTAGTTCACTGTCACAGCGCTGTCATTGTCTCAATGCTGAAATTGAGCTTGCCTTCAGATACTATATCACATTGTCTAAAGTTGAATTATCACATTGTGGTCCATAGAAAAATACATACATACTGTAATGTAACTTGTAGCTGTCTATGCTTTGTTGATTTGAATGCAGGGAACCTCAGACATCCTGCAGCAAGCTCTAGAGAACAGTGGCCTGCCCAGCACAGTTGATGACCAGGAGAGCTACTCTAAACAGGTGGGGACTGTCAGCAGTGCCTCTGTGAGAAGCTCCACTTCCGCCACCTGTACTACAACAGCCAGAGGTCATATGTCACGCCTGGGCACCATGGCCGTCCATGACTCAGCAACTGGTTTGTTGAAACGACATTATATCCGCAAGGTAGGATGTTTTTAAAAGAACAAATTCTTCCTTTGTTTTTTCTCTCTTGTCTGTTATTTATTTTTCATATCAGGAAATGTATGTGTGGTCAGAGTAGTTATAATGAGAAGTCTGCATACAGATAAGATCAGTAAAAAAGACCTGAATCTAGAAGTGGATGAACAAGCACATCTTCTGCCAGTTTACAAGCCGATGAACCCAAGAAAGAAAAAAAAGAAGAGACTAGTGGACTTTTATCGATTCTAGAGAAAGTAAAGACTTTGTGTCAACACCTTGAGCAGTGTTAGACATATGGTTCCAGCCCCATATGTTTATTCTCCAGTCTGCACTTCTAAATGGATACCCCCCCCCTCCCCCCTCCCCCTGGACTCCTTAAATGTCACTGAAACCCTCAGCCCTCAGGACAAACCCTGAACAAAATTACAATGCCCAAACTACAAGTGTTTATCCAGTCAACCTGTCTAGGGGATGTTATCATGCAGCATCTGCAGAACTGACTAAAAACAGCTGTTGGCCAAACATTCTTTGCGGCTGTTCCAATGTTGAGATACAGGACCTCTTCTGTCCCAGCCCCGCCCTTAAAAGAACCAATGTCGCCGTACACCAGATCCAATTGTATTTATCAGTTGTGCATGTAGGTGACTAACAGTGGTGGAACAGAGAGACAACTTGTCAAAACAGTGTGGCCAAACATGTACCCACATGGCTCCATACAGTGCTGGGTGAACCCATAAGAGTTTCAAAACCGACATAAAGGAAAGTACCCAACTCTTCTATAGGGCATTATTTGCTTGAATGGGGACATTTAATTGACAGGAACAGTGGTTTGTGTGTGATTTACCACACACCTAATAGGCAGATTTTGAGAATGTCCGAAGCTTTATTTATACAAATGTGTGATTCTTGTTTATATGGCAGAAGGAGTTAACTGTTGATTTGAAGTTATCCTGGTAAGTCACGTGACTATCATGAACCTCAAGTGATTTGGCAGCAGTGGATTACGAGAGACCATTTTGTATTTCAGTTGAGTTTATTATGTGTTCTTATAACTGCAGTAACGCACTTGATGAGATGCAGAGAAATATGCTGGGCAATAAATTGTGTAATCTATTGTTTATATCCGCATTATTTAAAAGTCAAGTAATTGTCCGTGTTAGTAACCAGCTTTAATTTTCTCAGGTAAATGGCATCCGGTGGCATCAATGTACATACTGCACCAAGGAGTTTAAAAAGCCCAGTGATTTGGTGCGACACATACGTATACACACACATGAGAAGCCCTACAAATGTACCCAGTGTTTCCGAGCATTTGCTGTCAAGAGTACCCTCACGGCCCACATCAAAACTCATTCAGGGTTGAAGGAGTATCGGTGTGATGTCTGCGGCAAGATGTTCTCTACCCAAGGAAGTCTCAAAGTACATCTCCGCCTCCACACAGGTCAGATTTTTTTTAACACTGATTTGTGTATTATTAGTTGTACTATATACACATCTCATTGATGCTGGTTTGTGTATTTTTAGTTGTACTATATACACATCTCATTGATGCTGGTTTGTGTATTTTTAGTTGTACAATATACACATCTCATTGATGCTGGTTTGTGTATTTTTAGTTGTACAATATACACATCTCATTGATGCTGGTTTGTGTATTTTTAGTTGTACTATATACACATCTCATTGATGCTGGTTTGTGTATTTTTAGTTGTACTATATACACATCTCATTGATGCTGGTTTGTGTATTTTTAGTTGTACTATATACACATCTCATTGATGCTGGTTTGTGTATTTTTAGTTGTACAATATACACATCTCATTGATGCTGGTTTGTGTATTTTTAGTTGTACTATATACACATATCATTGATGCTGGTTTGTGTATTTTTAGTTGTACTATATACACATCTCATTGATGCTGGTTTGTGTATTTTTAGTTGTACTATATACACATCTCATTGATGCTGGTTTGTGTATTTTTAGTTGTACTATATACACATCTCATTAATGCTGGTTTGTGTATTATTAGTTGTACTATATACACATCTCATTGATGCTGGTTTGTGTATTTTTAGTTGTACTATATACACATCTCATTAATGCTGGTTTGTGTATTATTAGTTGTACTATATTCTCATCTCATTGTTGTTGGTTTGTATACACTGCATAGAGATTTGTAAATATTAGTCTGATCTGATTTCTTCTGTTCCATTTTCAGAATAAATCAACTTACTGTTTGTTTATATTGCTGCCGTTATATTATTTCATTTCCCTCATTGAACTGGAGTTATACAAGTTCATCTCTGTTTAATTTGCTGCTTTAATTTTAGTTGATTTCCGTAATTTAACTGGTGCTGTTATACAAGTTCACCTCTGTTTAACTTTTTGCTGAAATATTAGTTCACTTCCCTAGTTAAACTGGTGCTGTTTTACAAGTTCGTTTGTGTTTACATTGCTGCAGCAATGTTAGTTCATTTTCCTGGTTAAACTGGTGCTGTTAAACAAGTTCATCTCTGTTTAACGTGCTGCTGTTATACAAGTTCATCTCTGTTTAACGTGCTGCTGTTATACAAGTTCATCTCTGTTTAATGTGCTGCTGTTATACAAGTTCATCTCTGTTTAATGTGCTGCTGTTATACAAGTTCATCTCTGTTTAACGTGCTGCTGTTATACAAGTTCATCTCTGTTTAACGTGCTGCTGTTATACATGTTCATCTCTGTTTAACGTGCCGCTGTTATACAAGTTTATCTCTGTTTAATGTGCCGCTGTTATACAAGTTCATCTCTGTTTAATGTGCTGCTGTTATACAAGTTCATCTCTGTTTAATGTGCTGCTGTTATACAAGTTCATCTCTGTTTAACGTGCTGCTGTTATACAAGTTCATCTCTGTTTAACGTGCTGCTGTTATACATGTTCATCTCTGTTTAACGTGCCGCTGTTATACAAGTTCATCTCTGTTTAATGTGCCGCTGTTATACATGTTCATCTCTGTTAAAGTTATGCTGGTCAGAGAGATAAAACACACAAAAACAGTCGGCTGTTTCGGTGAAAGGTATTGACAAACACAGCAACAGAAAGGGAGACAATCCCCACACAGGGAAGTCATGCGAATAACCAAAAGTCTGTCTTCATCACATTGTACAATAAGTTTATGTCCCTACTTACATTGTTGCTGTCATGTAACTTTCAGGTGCCAAGCCATTTTCATGCTCGCATTGTGACAAGAGGTTCCGCACATCAGCTCACTGCAAGGCCCATAACCAGTCTCATTTGAAGGACTCAGATAGTGTCCCTAGGCCACGGCGAGCCATCAAACGAGAAGTCCGCCATGATGCCCTTCTCTCCAATATCACACTTCAGGAGCCCATCATCATCACAGATACAGGTATGGTTGCCAGAGGGTATCAGACTCTCTTCCACTTTCTGTCTGTCTTCTTGATGTCTGTCTTTCCGTTTTCTCTCTCTCTCACTTGTTCTCTCAGGGAGGGAAGAGAGTATGTGTCCATTGTAGATGTTTGTGTATAAGCAGTCTACAATAAACAGACAATGCGTGAACCATCTCCACACAGAAGAATGATTAGCTGTACCCACTGCTGGCTGAGGGAGTTTTATAGGTTCAGGCCCTAATCTTTTCTCTCCTCCTTTAGCCAGGGGTAGGAGGAGGCATTGAGGAACTGAGTGGTTTCTCTGTTTAAATGTTAATATCATGAATAGGTCAAGTAGAAAGCAATTGATATCACTGGTGGCTGAGAATTTAAAGAAAAAGAGTGAAATATCACAGTATGTTTACATAGTTTTATTTTAAGGGGTCACAACACGGTTTTTTTTCCAATTTATGACAAAAATATTACTTTATCAATGTGTTCGTTTTTGTAAAGTTGGGCAATCGTAGAATAGATTGCACACAAAATTTATGTCATTTGTAAACAATTTAGCATTGAAAAGTTAATTCTAAAGACACCAACCCATGTACTTTTTAGGTCAGTTTTCTCACATCTCTATATTTCCGTTTGTTGTGTGTGTGAAATCCTAAAATCTAAGTTAATATAAAGACTAGAAACATGAAATATTGTGTACTCCTTAAACAAGATTATAGGGACAGGTCTATGTGAAAGTAGATTTTAGAAATTTTTTTTTTTTTAATTTATTTTCATTGATGCTATATTTTTTTGACTTGTTGAACAAACCTATACTTTAAAATTCTACGAAAAATAGATGAAAACATCTTTAAAGTGAATCAGTGACACCTGTACCTCTACAAAGGATTAAAGTTCATGAATCTATCATCTATTTCTCAATACCTATGTTTGTTTTTGAAATTTTAAGATTTTAAGTTCATATTGTTTTTTCCCTCAAGATGGCGGCTTTTGCCATGGCAGTCATGATTTTTTTAAAACTTAAAAATATGCAAATGTGTTAACATATCTTCCTACAAATGGCCATTATAAAATAATTGATCTAACTGTAAATAATTAAACATTTTTTTTTTATTGTAGTGACCCCTAAATACAGGCAAGCAAACGTTTCCACCATTTTTTTAAAATTTTCTTTTTCTTTTGAATTCAACTGCCAACTATACTTAACAAAAATGTTAATCAATAAAGAGCATACAATGAAGAAAAAAAAGAAGAAAACCATGAAAGTAAAATCCTGTAACTTACGGATCATGATATTCAAAGCAGAGTGTTACCATAGTGAATTGAGATTGTGCAGATACAAACAATACATGATATCATTGATTGCCTGGCATGTTTCCTGGCACAGCACAATCTGTCAGGCAGTCAGTTCTACAGTGTATATGACATCATTGATTGCCTGGCATGTTTCCTGGCACAGCACAATCTGTCATGCAGTCAGTTCTACAGTGTATTGTTGTGTCAGCAATATGTCTTCTTCACATTCGCCTGCTGTAGACTATGGCCTAAAGCTCTGGCTGTTTATCCACCTCTGAACTTTAGTCTTGTTGCGGAATCTGAATGTTGTGCTCACATCCGATTTACAGGTGTTGCTGATTTGTATGCAGACAATTGGTTCATTCCCTTTTACACAGATGCTGTACAGCTTCAAAGGAAATCTGGAATTAGTTGACATGGTTGTTGGAGAGGCAGTGAGTCTCTGCTTGAGTTCCCTGCACTGGTGCCCTGGGTGCATTATTTCACATCATATAGTTGACATGGTTGTTGGAGAGGCAGTGAGTCTCTGCTTGAGTTCCCTGCACTGGTGCCCTGGGTGCATTATTTCACATCATATAGTTGTTAAATGCTCTAAACCACAGAGTCACCTGGAGTTTACTGTAGTTTCTGTGTCAGTTTTCTCTCTGTAACCATATATAAACCAGCAACTGTTTCTGTCGCAGGTTTGATTCAGCAGCATCCTCGCAATCCAATGTTCCCTCCGTTTGCCAGCGAGTCTGGAAATCCAGAAAGACCATACAAATGTGGCCATTGTCGACGAGGCTTCAAGAAATCTAGTCATCTCAAACAGCATGTGCGATCTCACACAGGTAGGTTGTATATTTCAGAAGATACAATGTATGTTTCACACAGGTATCAAAGCAGCTAAGTTGGCTAGAAATGTATAACACATAAACTTCTTAGAAACTTACCACACAGGTAAATTGGCTAAAAATCTATCATTTAAGAAAGTTCACAAGGTAAATTGGCTAGAAAGTTATCATTTAAGAAAGTTCACAAGAAATGCATCACACAGATAAGTTTGATAGAAATTATCACAGGTTTGGCTTGTTAAAAATGCATTGCTCAAGTATTTGTTCTGATAGCAGCATGTCGCATCTTCTAATTGTTTACTTCTGATTGATCATATACCTTTTCTGTAACTGTATAGTTGGCACACTGCTTTTGTGCTGAGTTCAGAAGCAACATCACAGCAGTCTGGTCATTTCCCTAGGGACCCAATCCTTATATTCAGCAGCCAGCAAGGAGTGCCTGTGCCATTGGTACCAATGACTTTTTGATTATCCGTCCCTCCTGACTTTTTCTCTGAGTGCTAGCCAGTCCCTGTTTCACTGCCTACACCATAATGATCTGTTTGCACTTCCCCATTGTTCCCCTGCTTAGAACAAAGAAATAAGCTGACCCTCCTGTCTTACAATTGACACAGATTTGATACAAATATATTTTAAATTTTGTTTCCCATTTTTATTTTTTCATTTCTGCAGTTAAAAAACTGGCATTATAAATCCTCTGTTTCCCAGCTGGCGCAGAATTGCAGTACCAGGGGTGCCATTTGCAGTCTGATTAAATCTCTTGCCCTTCTCCTAAGTTTTGAATGTCAGTCGGATCCTCCGGTAACTCCTTGTTGCATCAGTCTCTCCAGTTCCAGGAACTCCTTGCTGCATCAGTCTCTCCAGTTCCTGTAACTTCTTGTTGCATCAGTCTCTCCAGTTCCGGTAACTTCTTGTTGCATCAGTCTCTCCAGTTCCGGTAACTCCTTGTTGCATCAGTCTCTCCAGTTCCGGTAACTTCTTGTTGCATCAGTCTCTCCAGTTCCAGTAACTTCTTGCTGCATCCTTCTCTCCAGTTCCGGTAACTCCTTGTTGCATCAGTCTCTCCAGTTCCGGTAACTCCTTGTTGCATCAGTCTCTCCAGTTCCGGTAACTTCTTGCTGCATCCTTCTCTCCAGTTCCGGTAACTTCTTGTTGCATCAGTCTCTCCAGTTCCAGTAACTTCTTGTTGCATCAGTCTCTCCAGTTCCAGTAACTCCTTGTTGCATCAGTCTCTTCAGTTCCGGTAACTCCTTGTTGCATCAGTCTCTCCAGTTCTGGTAACTCCTTGTTGCATCAGTCTCTCCAGTTCTGGTAACTTCTTGTTGCATCAATCTCTCCAGTTCCGGTAACTTTTTGTTGCATCAGTCTCTCCAGTTCCAGTAACTTCTTGTTGCATCAGTCTCTCCAGTTCCAGTAACTCCTTGTTGCATCAGTCTCTCCAGTTCCGGTAACTCCTTGTTGCATCAGTCTCTCCAGTTCTGGTAACTCCTTGTTGCACCAGTCTCTCCAGTTCCAGTAACTTCTTGTTGCATCAGTCTCTCCAGTTCCAGGAACTCCTTGTTGCATCAGTCTCTCCAGTTCCAGGAACTCCTTGTTGCATCAGTCTCTCCAGTTCTGGTAACTTCTTGTTGCATCAGTCTCTCCAGTTTCAGTAACTTCTTGTTGCATCAGTCTCTCCAGTTCTGGTAACTCCTTGTTGCATCAGTCTCTCCAGTTCTGGTAACTTCTTGTTGCATCCTTCTCTCCAGTTCCAGTAACTCCTTGCTGCATCAGTCTCTCCAGTTCCAGGAACTCCTTGTTGCATCAGTCTCTCCAGTTCCAGTAACTCCTTGTTGCATCAGTCTCTCCAGTTCCAGTAACTCCTTGTTGCATCAGTCTCTCCAGTTCCGGTAACTTCTTGTTGCATCAGTCTCTCCAGTTCTGGTAACTTCTTGTTGCATCAGTCTCTCCAGTTCCAGTAACTCCTTGTTGCATCCTTCTCTCCAGTTCCAGTAACTCCTTGCTGCATCCTTCTCTCCAGTTCCGGTAACTTCTTGTTGCATCAGTCTCTCCAGTTCCAGGAACTCCTTGTTGCATCAGTCTCTCCAGTTCCAGTAACTCCTTGTTGCATCAGTCTCTCCAGTTCCAGTAACTTCTTGTTGCATCAGTCTCTCCAGTTCCAGGAACTCCTTGTTGCATCCTTCTCTCCAGTTCCAGGAACTCCTTGTTGCATCCTTCTCTCCAGTTCCAGTAACTCCTTGTTGCATCAGTCTCTCCAGTTTCGGTAACTTCTTGTTGAATCAGTCTCTCCAGTTCCAGGAACTCCTTGTTGCATCAGTCTCTCCAGTTCCCACAAAATATCTCAGGATATTATCTCAATCTTTTACTTTGTCCAGGAGAGAAGCCATTCCGCTGCAACATCTGTCAACGATCGTTTGTATCCAGTGGAGTGTTGAAAGCCCACTCCCGGACACACTCGGGGGAGAAGACCCACAAGTGCCTGGTCTGTGATGCCTTGTTTACCACAGGCGGCAGCTTGAAGAGACACATGTCCACACACAGCGAGGTCCGCCCCTTCATGTGTCCCTACTGCCAAAAGACTTTCAAGACCTCCGTCAACTGCAAGAAACACATGAAAACGCATCGGTAAGTCTGTTGTAGTCTCCTGGGATACACAATCATTATCATCATCATCATCATGTGTTATCAGGGGCTGAAGTTCACAGGGATGGGCTATTATTATTATAATGCTGACCTTTGTGTACTTGAAAAGTTATCCAAGTCTTCCCCTTGAGGGATGCAATTTTTGTGTGTGTTAATTAAAGCCCCACCCTGGCTTTTGCCGGGGCCCTGGATATAGCTGGGCCACAATTGTGGCCATAACCTCTGAAAGGTATTTCTGGGATGTCTCCATGGGTGATCCTCATCCGCATGATGGCATTATGTGTCAGCAGATGTTTATTGTTTGTGTGATGTCATGGTGGGGTACAACAAGCAGTGTACTTGAAAAGGTTTAATATCTTTGTTATTGTAGTGCAGCAGTAGACATGATAGTGATAGTGTTGTCAACAGCAGCACTAGCACTGATAATGGGCATAAATGGCTGTTGTATTGTCATTAGTAGTTATCTTATTTGCATTAACCGCAGCAGTGGTAGAAGCTGTTGCAGCTACATTGGTGCGGGGATAGAAACGTTGTTGGTAGTTTCAGTAGAAATAACACTCAGAATAGGCATGCAAGAATCTGCCACCTGTGAATGTGAAGCAGACTCCTGCACATGTACTGGAGGATTGCCTTATCTACTCCTGGCAAAGGTTGGGGATCTGCTGTGGGGAACCAGCGGCAACCTTAGACACAATGTTCTGTTGGTGACCCCCACGGGAATAAATATTTAGCAAGGCTGTTGAACACAGAAGTAGAAGAAACGGCCATGATAGCATTGGTGGTGCTAGAAATTGCAGTAGCGGTGTTGACTGTATAAGCAGCAGTAACAGTGTTTGTGGTAATAGCAGCATCCGTGTGTTACTGGAACCTATGTGGTCAGCAACAATAGCGTTATCCTGTCCTGCGTGTCTGTTTAAGTTAACTAGAGTTATTACCAGAGAGTGTGAAAGTACACATTACACATTACTAATCATGTGACGAAATTATTGACCTAATTGAGAAGTGTAGATACTTGAGCCAATGAAAAATTGTGGAAGTGATGGTGTTTGAAATGTGCAAATTCCACGGGTATGGCCAGACCCACTTGTAAATGACTGCTGGTAGGTGAATCTTGGGGTAGTCTGGTTCAGTAGCCTTCAGTTAGTGAAATAGTTTGGACGCTTGTTTATGTTGTGTACTGTTTTAATCATGTCTTTTTTTCTGTGAAAGTATCTGCACAGTCTATTTGAATTTGGTGTATTAGTACATGTTCTGAATATTTTAATATATGAATATTTTAAGATAGATAATCATTGGAATATGGCGAAAGGGTTGGTCTGTGTGTGGTGGGATCAGCATTGGTGCATTCATGTGTCATGCTGGTTGACTTGCCGTAACTATGTTGAAACCAGAGTGAAGTGGGAATGACAAAGTGTCTGGGGATGCTTCCAAGTATGGCAAGGTATTTTATTCACCAGTTTGGTGCAACTGCCTAATGTCCTGACATGGTAGTCTCTCAAATAGAGAGTTACCAGAGGATGGTCACCACCATCATTGGAAGATGGGTTCTGTGTGTTCGGGCAAGAGGTGCCTGTAGCAGCCATCAGAACATAAAGTGGAGAGATGTCTTGTGTTCTGTCCAATTGTGGGGACTTGAGAGAACTATTCAGACTTTGTGTTGGAGTAGTGTGCTAGCAGAGCATACTTGAATCATACTTGTGTTTCGGCTGCGAACCTTGTGCGTTACAGTCTGTGAGTGGTTGACTGAGAACTATTAGGACTTTGTGCCAGTATTGATTGAGCCAGTGATCCATTATGTGAACAAGAGTGACCGAGAGACTACTTGTTCATCTTACATCACCAATTCATCATCATCATGTAGTCATCCATAGTAAACAAGACTGAAGGCACTAGTCAGTCATAAGTTCAGTGATTTATTCTAGTTTAGTTAAGAATTTTCTGGTTTCTCAAAGACTTAACTAGCGCTAGAAACCAGTGATCTCCATTAATCATAAACCCTAGACACTTGCTAGATGGTGAAATGGTATATTTGGCCGTGTGATATCGCAACTTATTTCACAACAATGACATAAAAGGCAGTTAAGGAGGCTTGGCATAAGGATAGATACCTCATAATAGCTGCAAATCAAAGGTCATGTATGAGAGAGAGAGAGGGGAGAGAGAGAGGGGGAGAGAGAGTTTGGGGGAGAGAGAGAGAGAGGGGGGAGAGAGAGAGAGGGGGGAGAGAGAGAGAGAGATAGAGAGAGAGGGGGGGGGGGAGAGAGATAGAGGGGGGAGGAGAGATAGAGAGAGAGAGGGGGGGAGAGAGAGAGAGAGAGATAGAGAGATAGAGAGAGAGAGAGGGGGGGGAGAGAGAGAGAGAGAGAGAGAGAGAGAGGGGGGGGGGAGAGAGAGAGAGGGGGAGAGAGAGAGAGAGCTAGTAGCAATGGTAGTAGTGGTATAGTAAGAGGGAAGAAACTGTCAGTAGGAACTGTTTTGTTGTTGTTGACCCGTACATTTATCTGGTGATCTGTTCCCAGGCATGAGCTAGCCATGCAGCATTATGAAACTATCAAGGAAGGAGATGGCGGGGCAGGTGCAGCCGATGGGGGTGAGGGGAGAGGAGATGAGGATGGGGAGATGGTGGAAGTGGATGGACTGACAGGGTCACAGACACTGGCTGACCTGGATGTGCTGCAGGAGCAGGTTATTTCCCACACCACCACTGTCAACCACTCGGATCTACAGGTAGGCTTATTTTATTGCCCACACCACCACTGTCAACCACTCGGATCTACAGGTAGGCTTATTTTATTGCCCAGACCACCACTTTCAACCACTCAGATCTACAGGTAGGCTTATTTTATTGCCCACACCACCACTGTCAACTACTCGGACCTACAGGTAGGCTTATTTTATTGCCCAGACCACCACTGTCAACCACTCGGATCTACAGGTAGGCTTATTTTATTGCCCAGACCACCACTGTCAACCACTCGGATCTACAGGTAGTCTTATTTTATTGCCCAGACCACCACTGTCAACCACTAGGATCTACAGGTAGGCTTATTGTATTGCCCACACCACCACTGTCAACCACTCGGATCTACAGGTAGGCTTATTTTATTGCCCAGACCACCACTTTCAACCACTCGGATCTACAGGTAGGCTTATTTTATTGCCCACACCACCACTGTCAACCACTCGGACCTACAGGTAGGCTTATTTTATGGCCCACACCACCACTGTCAACCACTCGGATCTACAGGTAGGCTTATTTTATGGCCCACACCACCACTGTCAACCACTCGGATCTACAGGTAGGCTTATTTTATTGCACATTTCTGATGTTTAGTCTTATCACATATTGACAGCGAATAGGGAACTTGGACATAAAATAACTACATGTGAAATGTGCTGCTCCACAAGGTCACTAACAGCACACGTAGAGACAGGGTTGCGAATACCAGCATTAGAGAGAAAGTTGGAATAAGACCCTCTGGATTATATTGACAGACCAAGAATTAAATGGTTCAGTCGCCTAGTGAGAATGCAGCCAGACCAAACTGCATATGAAACCTTTTACAGTAGAACATTTGGGAGGAAGGCGAAGGGAAGGTTGAGAAAGAGATGGATAAATGGTGTTGATGAAACCTGTAAAAAGATCTGTCACTCAAGCCACCCAAGCAGCGCAAGACAAATACAGAGAACCACCACATCGGGCTTCAACCTGGTATGAGTGAGACAACAGAAGAAAAGTATGATCAGATAGACTTGGTTTTTTCTTCTGTAAGTGTCTATTGATATAAGCAGATTCTTTTGCCTTAATGAGTATGCTGTAGTTATTTTTTTTAAAGTTGTTTTGACAGATTCTTTTGTCACAAGCAATCTGTGGACGAAGACTGTGGGTTATTATATAGACAGTGGCTTCTGACACTCATTCAGCTTGCCTTTTGATAGTTTATTTTTTGGCACAATGATATAGGCAATCTTTCAAGGCAGTTAACTCATAAAGGTTTTCAAATTTGTAAGTGTAACCAAGGCAGCAGCCCAATCGACCGTGTTCCTCATCTTGGTTCTGGGAAGCCATTTTGGGGGAAAAAATGGATTAATCGGGTGTGTATCATTTGAAGTCAGAGTGCATCTGCCTGAGAGGTGAGGCACCTCCAGTCTGCACACAGATAAGTCAGATCCATAAAATGGATTTGCAGGAAAAACTCAGGTATTGGAAAAAGACCAGAGACCAGAAGTGGACAAACAACCAGGACTTTCTGCTGCACTTTACAGCCAGTGAATGTGAAGAAGAAGAGCATACCTCTCAAATAATTAAAGATGTTCACATGCACAATTGCACTTGTCTGAGAAGGCTCAACATCCAGTTTACTACCCAACTTTCAGGGGTCAAATGAAAAAAAAAAAAATGAACAATGTTTATGGTCCATTTGGTGAAATGATTTAGGTGTGTAAAAGCCAGAGACAGAAGATCTCATATTGTCTGAGTCACCATGTTCTTGCTGACTCCGTGTATCTTGTTCCTGTGACAGGTGGTGGAGATGAGCCAGGCAGATCTGCAGGCAGTCAGTGCCGCCTCAGACTCACTGGCTGTTGAAGCTGGCCTGCAGCAAGCCTTTGGGCAAGGGGTGAGTTCTGTCAACACTTGAGTAGCTTCTCAGTCTTGCTGTTCTCAGTCTTGCTGGTCAATTAGAAGTTCACTGTAGACATGTACCAGATCCTGCATGGATACATAAGGCAATTCACTCCCCTGTGTTTTCTCTGTAGTGAAGAACTACATCACCAGTTAGCAGTTCAACCAGCAGAATCCCAGCTGCAGCACACTGTAATAGAGAAGTGACAACATCAGGGGCAATAACAGCTGAGCTAGTAAAGTGGAGGAGCACATGACCTCCCTTTGTTGGGGCCAGTTTCTAGGATTGCTTTTCTTGTGGCACTCATCCGTAAAGGCTGTGGCTGAAACGTTTAATTGTTTCTCTGTGCGGTTTTTTTTAATTTAACCTCCCCACTGATAGTCTCCTGAACTTAGTGTTGATGAATGCTGAAGAAGAAATTTATGTTCAGTGACTTCACTTTAACACAGGCCTGGGTCGTCACAAACACTGGAGACATGTTCAGTGGCACATGTCACTGGATACAAACAGATAATTGTCTGGAGGAATAAAGATGTTCCATAGCAGCTGTATGCAGTCAGTTTTTGTTGTAGTCTTCCACTTACCAGCTCTTTTCTTTCTTTTTATTCCCCCTGTATTCTCCCTCCTCTTCTTCAGGTCCTACCATTTGCTGTGAGTATCTATTTCAGAGCACGATCGCAGTAGTTGCACCATAGATCAATGTGTTAATGAGAACAGTTAGCATGTACACCTTAAGACATTTGATGCTGGAGACGGAGCACTTTTGGGTATACCTGATGTGCTACGGTGTCAATTCTTAAGTAGGAAATCAGTAATCTGAGTACAGTCATGCAGTGACTATTACACTGTTGTCATTCCCTCACTGTGGTAATGTTATCATTGACTAAAGGCTCGAGCTGACCTAGCCTGAAATTTTGTGTCAGAAAGTTACCTGGGTATTCTAGACATTCAGATTATACTGACTGATCACCACACATGGAATGCGGATGGGTGTAATAAACAGCACTAGCACTATATACCCAAGAATACCTCATGGCATGAACATGGATTTGTCTATTCATCTCTTTGAAAGAACTGTATGTGCCATCTCCACAGTGGAGGTTGGCTGCTATGTATACATGCTAACTATGGGAATATTACCCTGGCTTCTTCCACAGTGTAACTCTTTTTCCACTGTCTGAAAGCCACAGGAACACTTTTTTTCTACAACATCTCACATCAGGAAAGGAACCCTGTGAAACGTTGAGGATTTCATTGTGAAACCCTTTTACTATTCTAGGCTAGAACTCTTTGAACCATCACTAAATACAAGAAAGAAAGCACACTTTTGTGAATGACTGTCATGTGTAGAATCCCCCCTCCTCCCAACACTGTACATGACTGAACATCAGTAAGGAAAACTGAAAGTTTCTAGCTGGACTTCTATATTTCCCTTGTTTCTGCCACCCAAATACAACTTTCTCATGCAGCAAACCCGAATGGAAATCCGGTATAAGTCTCACATGGCACGCTTATGTAATCCCTACATGGTTTAGTGTGGAGGTTTGGAGGTCATTCATTCAGTCTGTTACATTGTCCGACCCCATATCCACACAGAGACTGATCCCTTAGAGCAGCGGTTCTCAACCTGCGGGTCACAACCCTTTTTTGGCTTGAAGGACCCTTTCACATGGGTCGCCTAAGACCATCTTTAAACACATTTTCATTGAAGTTAAGAAGGAAAATAATTGTTTGTGGGTCACCACAACATGAGGGAACTGTATTAAAGGGTCGCCACAACATGAGGGAACTGTATTAAAGGGTCACCACAACATGAGGGAACTGTATTAAAGGGTCGCCACAACATGAGGGAACTGTATTAAAGGGTCGCCACAACATGAGGGAACTGTTTTAAAGGGTCGCCACAACATGAGGGAACTGTATTAAAGGGTCACCACAACATGAGGGAACTGTATTAAAGGGTCACCACAACATGAGGGAACTGTATTAAAGGGTCGCCACAACATGAGGGAACTGTATTAAAGGGTCACCACAACATGAGGGAACTGTATTAAAGGGTCGCCACAACATGAGAGAACTGTATTAAAGGGTTGCCACAACATGAGGGAACTGTATTAAAGGGTCACCACAACATGAGGGAACTGTATTAAAGGGTCGCCACAACATGAGGGAACTGTATTAAAGGGTCAACACAACATGAGGGAACTGTATTAAAGGGTCGCCACAACATGAGGGAACTGTATTAAAGGGTCACCACAACATGAGGGAACTGTATTAAAGGGTCGCCACAACATGAGGGAACTGTATTAAAGGGTCGCCACAACATGAGGGAACTGTATTAAAGGGTCGCCACAACATGAGGGAACTGTATTAAAGGGTCGCCACAACATGAGGGAACTGTATTAAAGGGTCGCCACAACATGAGGGAACTGTTTTAAAGGGTCGCCACAACATGAGGGAACTGTATTAAAGGGTTGCCACAACATGAGGGAACTGTATTAAAGGGTCACCACAACATGAGGGAACTGTATTAAAGGGTCACCACAACATGAGGGAACTGTTTTAAAGGGTCGCCACAACATGAGGGAACTGTATTAAAGGGTCACCACAACATGAGGGAACTGTATTAAAGGGTCACCACAACATGAGGGAACTGTTTTAAAGGGTCACCACAACATGAGGGAACTGTATTAAAGGGTCACCACAACATGAGGGAACTGTTTTAAAGGGTCGCCACAACATGAGGGAACTGTATTAAAGGGTCACCACAACATGAGGGAACTGTTTTAAAGGGTCGCCACAACATGAGGGAACTGTATTAAAGGGTCACCACAACATGAGGGAACTGTATTAAAGGGTCGCCACAACATGAGGGAACTGTATTAAAGGGTCGCGGCATTAGGAAGGTGGAGAGCCTTAGAGAGGTACATCACAGTGGGTGGTTTCTGAAGATATCTAGTTTTACATGTCCATTTGTTTCCTGGTGTGTCTTTCTGATCCTTGTCAAATACAGCTGCCTGCTCTTGTATATTATGCAAGAAAAAAAAGGTTGTTGCTGACTTGCTCTTGATGTGGTTTGTTTCATGCAGATGTTTGGACACAATTTCACACTGGTAAACCAACAGAGATATATTGAGTTGACTGACCAGGGCTCGGCTCAGGAAGACAAACATGGCGGGGACGATGTGGTCAGGGTAGGTTGCCTGTTTGTAACTTCTGGTTTATCCTTGGCCGTGTCTTCTTTCTTTTTCTTTTTTCTTTCATCCCCCCCCCCCCCCCCTCCCCCGGATATACTGGTAATGTATAATGCGTGAAATTTTCACATCTGAATCACTGTTAAAGGGAACATGGGATGAAACACTGTCAGTAGCAACATGCCAAATAATCAGATTCACTGTTCCCTTGTCACTGTTGGCCTCAAATCGCCTACAGAGATAGGAGGCTGTGTCAACCAAAGGGGTAGCCTGGTCATATTTTATTTATTATAAAACTGTACCTTAACAATGACAGTTGTACCATGTGTGCTCCGGCCTCACAGACATTCTACCTACACCCACACTTGGTATTGTATCGTGTCTGCTTAAGTAAGATTTATCAGGCATCACAGACATTCTGCCCACCCTCAAATCCTGCTACAAGTCATTCTGCCTAATCCTTCAGAATGGTTTGGAGTCTGTTAGAAATGAAATACCCAAGATGTATTAGGAAAAAATGACCCGCCCAGGTGTATCTCAGCCATTTTGTTGATGCTTACCTGAGTAATGGTCTGGTAACATCCTTATCTCTCTCTCTCATGTAAAATTCTGATACCAGTCTTGCACACCCTACTGATTTCTGAGCTTAGAAAGGGTATTGAGAGCTCTGTGACATAGTCCCTGGGGAGAAGTTCCTGAAAGAACAAAATGGGAAATGACCATTTCCTAACAGAACAAGATGGGAAATAACCGTTTCCTAACAGAACAAGATGGGAAATAACCATACCCTAAAAGAACAATATGGAAAATAACCATTTCCTAAAAAATATGGGAGGTGAGATTTTTCTGAGAACTTGGGATCCCGGGTTGGGGTCCAGTGAAAACAAGAACAGTCCCACCGAATTCCTAAGGGCTCCAGTGAAAACAAGAACAGTCACACTGAATCCCTAACAAGCATGTCATAAGAGTCGACTAATGAGGGAATTACTTCAGAATGGCAGTGTATCTGCATGAGAGGCAAGAAACCAACAGTCTGTGTACAAATAAGCCAACTCTGTAAAGCAGATATTCATATGTAAATCAAAAACTAGAGGTGGACGAACTACCATAAATGTACACCATAGTTTATAGCAGGTGAGGGTGAAGAAGAGAAGAAGAAGATGGCAGCCACTTATTTCCTTAAAAAAAAAAAAGAGTACAGATAACCTAAAAGAACAAGATGACAGTTAAGTACTTCATGAAATGTGATACAGAAGGCCATAATTTCCTGATCTCCCCACAGGTTCAACTAGAGGGACAGCTGGATTCACAGACAAACTCATCACTGCCTCAGTCGGTTGGTGGTCAAGTCAGCACACAGTTCACCTATCAGGTAAGGCACCTCTCTCATGTTGGTGGTCAAGTCACCCCACAGTTCACCTATCAGGTAAGGCACCTCTCTCATGTTGGTGGTCAAGTCACCCCACAGTTCACCTATCAGGTAAGGCACCTCTCTCTCATGTTGGTGGTCAAGTCAGCACACAGTTCACCTATCAGGTGAGGCACCTCTCTCATGTTGGTGGTCAAGTCACCCCACAGTTCACCTATCAGGTAAGGCACCTCTCTCTCATGTTGGTGGTCAAGTCACCCCACAGTTCACCTATCAGGTAAGGCACCTCTCTCTCATGTTGGTGGTCAAGTCAGCACACAGTTCACCTATCAGGTGAGGCACCTCCCTCATGTTGGTGGTCAAGTCACCCCACAGTTCACCTATCAGGTGAGGCACCTCTCTCATGTTGGTGGTCAAGTCACCCCACAGTTCACCTATCAGGTATGGCACCTCTCTCATGTCTCCACCTTGTAGTCTCCTTGTTCATAAAGACATCTAGAAATTGTGTAAGCATGCCTGCAAAGTCAGCTGAAAGGGGTAAATATTGCTGTAATGTAGTAAATGGGCACAGCACATCTGCGTCTTCAGGTGAACGCAGAAGAAGAACAAGAAAAAGAAATATAAGTAAATCTAGACGCACATTTAAACAATTCTACTACCAGTATTGTTGCTATTCTGGACCTACACATGAGCACACACTACAGCATGCACATGCACACCCACACACATGTACACCCACACACATGTACACCCACACACATGCACACACACTTGTTGACTGGCTAATCTGTCATGTGTCTGATTGACCAGGCTGTTCGTTGATTCAAGGGCATGAATTGGTGCGTCACTGACACGTTTAAGTGTCCTGGCAAAATTGCTGCCAACAATGTCCTTGCTGGCATTCTCCACCCTTGTCCCAGAAATCAGCACATGGTGTCTCATGTTGTGACCAAGCCTTCTTTGTTGCCTTCCTCTGAAGTCTGTGCAGAAATATGCCTTCTTTAACCTTTGTCGAAATATTGATATACCCCACATTGACTGTCTTAGGAATTTGATGCATGTTTCCTTTGTTAATCCACATCTCTGAGGTCTCAAAGAGATTTTTGTGTGTGACTTGGTTACTTATAATCCAGGATTCAGTTATAAGTTAAAACAGATTGTGTTTAACATGTACAAATGATAGAAGGGAGAATGAGAGAGGTAGGGGAAAATGAGAGAAAAGAGATAGAAAGTGCAGAGAGGGAGATAGTAAGAGATATGGCAGATAAAAATAGGACAGAGTGAAAGATAAAGACAGAGAAATGCCTTTTAATAGGGAAGAGATGGTGAGAGGTAGAGAAAAGAAAGGAAAGAGAGGTAAAAAAGAGAATGAATGAACAAACTTTAAAAGGACAGTGATAAAGAGCCACTTAATGACCTGTGGGGCCAGATCTAGTTGTGGCTTTCACAGGGCTGCCAGCCTACAGCATGTGCTCCGAGTTGATCTCTAATGTTTCTGATTCTCCCACATTTGCCAGCCCCAGAATTGGAAGTCCAGCCTGGAGGTCAGTACAGCACTGGGCAGTGGCTTCGAGCAGCAGCAGGCTACAACCATCCATGTCATGTGAGTGGGGTCCACTTTTGTGTTTATGTGTGTGTATTTTATGTTTCCTCTGTTTTTGTCTGTGTGTGTGTTTAATCTGCCTCCTACATTGTTTTCTGTGTATGCATTTTATTTAACTTCTCCATTGTTGTCTGTGTGTGAGTTTTATCTGTCTCCCCTATTGTTGTCTGTGTGTGAGTTTTATCTGTCTTCCCTATTGTTGTCTGTGTGTGAGTTTTATCTGTCTCCCCTATTGTTGTCTGTGTGTGAGTTTTATCTGTCTTCCCTATTGTTGTCTGTGTGTGAGTTTTATTTGTCTCCCCTATTGTTGTCTGTGTGTGAGTCTTATCTATATCCCCTATTGTTGTCTGTGTGTGAGTTTTATCTGTCTCCCCTATTGTTGTCTGTGTGTGAGTTTTATCTGTCTTCCCTATTGTTGTCTGTGTGTGAGTTTTATCTGTCTCCCCTATTGTTGTCTGTGTGTGAGTTTTATCTGTCTCCCCTATTGTTGTCTGTGTGTGAGTTTTATTTGTCTTCCCTATTGTTGTCTGTGTGTGAGTCTTATCTATATCCCCTATTGTTGTCTGTGTGTGAGTTTTATCTGTCTCCCCTGTTGTTGTCTGTGTGTGAGTTTTATCTGTCTCCCCTATTGTTGTCTGTGTGGGAGTTTTATCTGTCTCCTCTATTGTTGTCTGTGTGTAAGTTTTATCTGTCTCTCCTATTGTTGTCTGTGTGTGAGTTTTATCTGTCTCTCCTATTGTTGTCTGTGTGTGAGTTTTATCTGTCTCCCTTATTGTTGTCTGTGTGTGAGTTTTATGTGTCTCCCCTGTTGTTGTTTTGTATGAGTTTTTTCCTTCTGTCACCCACATTGTTGTCTATGTGTAATTTTTTTCTGTATCCCCCAATTGTTGTCATTGTGTGTTTTTATGTTGCCTATATTGTTGTCATTGTGTGTTTTTATGTTGCCTATATTGTTGTCATTGTATTTTTATGTTGCCTATATTGTTGTCAGTATAAGTTTTTATGTTTCCTCCATTGTTGTGTGTGTGAGTTTTGAAGATGTGAGAGATTCATGTTACTATAATGTCTGAGTTGTTGATGTTATGGTTATATTTCAGATATTGATTTAGTTGCTTTATGTTTGTGCTACTGATATTTCATCAGAGTTTCTGTTGCTGTGTTTTAGGGAAGATCCTCAAGAAAGCCATGCAGATGTTCAAGAGGAAGATGATGATGAAGAGGAGGAAGATATTGACAATGACATTGAAGAAGATGATGATGATGATGATGATGGCATGAGAGAAGGACAGCAGCATGATGTCTTGCCAGGTATTTCCAACTTCAACAGACGCGGCTTCAGGTGCCACATCTGCAGCAAGATCTTCAAGAGATCAAGCCATCTGAACCAACACATGAAGGTACACAGCACAGACAAGTCATTCCAGTGTCAAGAGTGTTCCAAGCTGTTCAGCTCTGCCCTGGTTTTGAGGAGCCACCTGCGCACACACTCGGGTCTCAAGGCCCACATGTGTTCTTTGTGCAATGTTGCATTCTCCACGGCCATGGCGCTTCGCCGCCACATGGTGCAGCACAACAACGCCAAGAACTATGTCTGCGAGCTGTGCAATGAACGCTTCAAGAACTCTGCTCAGTTACGACGCCACTGGATTCTCAAAGATTGCCAGGGTGAGGTTTTGCTTGTATTGTGTTTCTTTTTTTGTCTTTCTCTGTGTGTCAGTGTTATCTGGAGTGTGTCATCTGTGTGTCAGTGTTATCTGGAGTGTGTCATCTGTGTGTCAGTGTTATCTGGAGTGTGTCATCTGTGTGTCAGTGTTATCTGGAGTGTGTCATCTGTGTGTCAGTGTTATCTGGAGTGTGTCATCTGTGTGTCAGTGTTATCTTGAGTGTGTCATCTGTGGGTCAGTGTTATCTGGAGTGTGTCATCTGTGTGTCAGTGTTATCTGGAGTGTGTCATCTGTGTGTCAGTGTTATCTGGAGTGTGTCATCTGTGTGTCAGTGTTATCTGGAGTGTGTCATCTGTGTGTCAGTGTTATCCGGAGTGTGTCATCTGTGTGTCAGTGCTATCTGGAGTGTGTCATCTGTGTGTCAGTGCTATCTGGAGTGTGTCATCTGTGTGTCAATGTTATCTGGAGTGTGCCATCTGTGTGTCGGTGTTATCTGGAGTGTGTCATCTGGAATAATGTTGTCCCTTTGTGCACTATTTGTCATGCTATTTGTTGTGCCATTTGTACAGTTATTCAACCAAAGCTGTGTTTTGTTTGTTGAGTCATTTGTCATCTTGTGTTGTGTGTCATCTTGTGCAACATATGCCTTTTGCAGTCTATGTTGTGCATAATCTTGTGCAGCACATGCTATCTGCCATATTATGCAACATATCATATGTCAGCTTGTGTAGCTGGGTGTCATTTGTCATCTTACACAGTAAGTGTTTTGTCATGAGCAGTGTGTGCCATTTCTCATCAGTTCTGTTATTTCATCTGTTTAGTCTTCTTTCATTAGGTCTGACATGGTAGGTTACAATGTTATAACACTGTGCTTCTCCTATGGTCCTGTGGACATAAAGGCAGTGTAAGAGAACTGTAAGTTTTCCATCAGGCTAAAGATAAAGTGCAATACCTTATATTGTACCACAAATAGTAACCCTGAAATCTGCCATACATGTTGTAAGAGGGTTGAGAAAAGTTAGCTTGAAGCAGTGGCTACCCAATTTCTGTGGCTACCTCATTTCTATAAAAGATGGCTGCAAAAGTCATTTAATGTGATCAAGTGTCAGTAAAGAAAGGGCTTGGTGCCAGTTGAAATGGCAGCAGCTTGCTACAGCATTGTGTAACTAGGAGTGATGAGTGGCCGGGTGTTAAGATTGCTGAGCTGTCCTGCAGGAGACCCAGGTTCCACCTTCAGTGAGGGGGTAGATGTTTGTTGTTGGGGCACACAGACAAATCTGAATCTGCACAGGCTGACAGCCTCCTGTGTGGGTCACCATCCTGCAAGTGGTAAACACCAGTGGTACAGACCTGAGTACAGTCATGGTCACCATCCTGCAAGTGGTAAACACCAGTGGTACAAACCTGAGTCCAGTCACGGTCACCATCCTGCAAGTGGTAAACACCAGTGGTACACACCTGAGTACAGTCACGGTCACCATTCTGGAAGTGGTAAACACCAGTGGTACAAACCTGAGTACAGTCAGGGTCAAGCCTTGTTATGTGATGTTTCAGATGTACACTCCAGCCCAGAGGTGGACCTGATCACCAAAACCAATGATGAGAACCAGGCACCGCGACGAGTGTCACGTCGCAGATCTCTGGGACAACAACACCTCTTCTCTGACGAGCAAGTGACCATTTCTGAGAAAATACTCATAGAGTCCACCTCGGAGAAGGACAGGATTAGTATGCCAAAGGTGAGTTTGTTTTGTTTGTGGGTTTTTTTTAATATAAAAAATATTGAAGAAAAAGGGAAAGATATTCAAAATTGTAACTGCAGGAGCAAAAGGTTTTATTTTGTTTTCAGTTCAGTTCTGGAGGATGTTGGGAGATATGTAATGAAGAAATGCATGAGAGAAAAGCATCAAGCTGAAAGAAGGAGTAGGGGAGAGGAGCAGAAGGAAAAAAAGAGAGAGAAGTGGGGGAGCAGTGTATAAGTGAATTTTGTATGGTATGATGTCCTTGTATACTGCTTTCATTTATTCTTCTAAGCATTCACTAGCTATAAACCCTGGGGGGAAAGTACTGGTTGTTCGTCCACTCATGGACTGTGGTCCTGTTCCAGAGTTTTGTGTGTACATTGGTTGTTACAGAACTGACTGAACTGACTGTTGGTACCTTGCCTCACAGGCCGATACACTTTAACCTTGAAGGAAACATCCCTGATTAGTTGCCTTGTATCACATGTTTATTAGTGGGGCAGTGGATCCCACACACACACACATGCACGCACACACACACACACACACACATGCACGCACGCACACACACAAACACACACACAGAGGGAGTGTGAAATTATGAATTACTGTTTTTTTTAAGGGTGTTTAATAACCACACTTCCTTCTGTATTTGTGAAATGATATTTATGAATTCCTTTTTTGTGTCTTCATTCTTGTGAAACCATGTTAATGAATTCCTTGTTTTTGTGTGTGATATCCACCCTTCCTCTTGTATTTGTGAAATCTTGATGTTCTGACTGTCACATAAATAATCCTGTAAGCTATAAAGAATAAGGAAGGGAGATGGAAGAATAATTAACGTGTGTATGGTTGATAGAGGTTAGATGCAGATCTGAAGGTCGTGAGTTCAGACCCTGATGAAGCCAGACTTTTAACAGAAATGACCTTGGCTCCCAGGTCGACCCAGTCTTAAATGGGTACCAGGTAGAGTTCTGGGGAGTAAAGGCGGCTGGCGAGATGATGATGACCTTACCCACTGAGTGGCCATTGATATATCAAATATATGTCTAGCTCTATCTATAAGCCCAGTACGGCTAAAAGCTGCAGACTTTCCCCCCAGTGTAATCAGCTTCCCTGTTTTCTAACCTTCGTTTATTAATTTTGCTATAATAATTGAGCTAAAAATTTGTGAAAATATGTTCAAAGATGTGCCAGGATTTCTATATTTTTTTTTAAAGCCAACATTTGTTCCCTCAGGAAATTCAGACTCAGTCAAACAGACGTGGTAGATTCCAAAATGTGTGTACACATTGTCCCAAGAGCTTCAAGAAACCCAGTGATCTGCTGCGACATCTGCGCATACACACTGGGGAGAAGCCGTTTGTGTGTGAAATTTGCCAGAGGTCATTCACAGTCAAATCTACTTTGGATTCTCACATGCGGACACACAAAACTGGTCAGTGGTCACTTTGTTTGTAGACCAGTTGTTGTGAGGTTGTGTTTGAGTTGAACTTTATGAATAGTCTTGCTTCTTTTGTCAGGATCTACTTTGTGCTGCTGGGTGTTAACACATGATGGATAGCTTAGCTTGGTTGTTTGGCATATTTTGAAA